ACATGGATATGCACAGGAACTTTGAAAAGAATGAAGTTGGAGAAGTTAAACTTCCTGATTTCAAGACTTATCATAAAACTATAATAACCAAGAAAAGGTGCTAATGCCAGAAAGAAAAACAGAGTGATCGATAAACAACACAAAAAGTTTAGGAATCAACTCACATTTATTCAACTAATTTTTTACAAGAGTGCCAAAGAAATTCAATAAAGGATAATATTTGCAACAAATGAGTCTGGACAATTGATGTATGGAGAAAAAGTGAACCTCAGTCCCTGCGGTTGCCAGCTCCCAAGAACCCTTCATGATTCTCATCTCCTGTATTCATGCCCTTATATAGTCCACTACCACAGAACAGAGCTGACCTGCATAACCAACCGGCTGTTGCAGAAATGATGGAGTGTGACTTCTGAGGCTGGGTCAGTTTCACTGCAGTTTCATTCTGTTCCACTTGTGTCACTCACTCTTAACAAATACAGCTGCCATGTCATAAGGACACTCAGAGGAACTGAAGCCTCTTGTTGACAACAAGCTCAACTTGCCAAGCACAGTGAGCGAGCCATCTGCAAAGTAAATCCTCCAGCCCAGTCAAGCCTTCGAATGACTACAGCCCAGTTGACACCCTGACTGCAATTTCATGAGACCCTGAGCCAGAACCACTCAGCTAAGACTCCCAGATTCCTGACTACTGAAAACTATGTGAAATAGTAAATGTTTATTGTTCTTTAACGCCACTAAGCTTTTGTTACACCACAAGAGGTAAGTAATACAATCCCTACATCATACACAAGATTAATATCAAATAAATGCCTAAATGTAAAAGTTAAACTATAGACTTTTTAGAGGAAATACAGGAAAATATCTTTGTGCTCTGGGTTGGCAGATTTCTTACAGTACAGAAAGCAATCACTACAAAAGAAAAAAACTGATAAATTACAGTTCATTAAATTAAAAACTGCTCTTCAGAAGATCATTAACACAATGTATACATACATCAAATCACATTGTAGACTTTAGATACCTTGCAATTTTGTCAATTATACCTCAATAAAGCTGAAAACGATCATTAAGAAAATGAATAGGCAAGCTAATGACCGAGAAAATGTTCACAAACATGTATTACAAAGGCCTTGATTCCAGAATATATAATGAACTCCTAAAAATGAATAATAAAAAGGCAAACAGCCCAATTTTTATAAGTGGGCAACAGATTTGAACAGGTACTTCAAAAAAGATATAAAAATGGCCAACAAGCACTTGGAAAGATGCTCAACATCATTGTCGTTAGGGGTATGCAAACCATAATGATACCACTACAGACCCACTAGAATAATTAAAACTAAAAAGACGAAGGCTGTCAGTCTTTTTAGTTTTAATTATTCTAGTGGCAAGGATATGGAGCAACAGAGGTTTCCATACCTTGATGATGGGAACATTAAATCGTATAACCACCTAACTACCAACCATCTGATTAGCAATTTCATTCACAGGTATTTCCCAAGAGAAATAAAAACATATGTCCACAAATACCCTCATTCAAAACTATTCATAGCTGGATTATTACTAGCAGCCTAAAAGCACAATCTAAATCAATAAGGAAAGAGGGTAAACAAACTGTGGAATGTGTATACATGAGACTACTACTTAAATAAAAAGCATCAACTACCAATAAGCACGACACAGATGCACCTCAAAGACATTCTCCTGAACAAAAGAAGGCGTACTCAAGAGAGCGTGTACTGCACAATCCCACTCATATGAAATTCCTGAACAGGCATATCTAAAGTAAAAGAAAAAAAAATATTAGCTACCAGGAAGGGAAAGGGTCAGTTGATGGGATGGACACACAAGAGAACATTCTGGGGCAAGAAGGGGTGTGGTTCACACATGTCTAAATTCTGTAGCTTAGATATGTGCATTCGATTTATGTAAATTTTAAAGGAAAAGTCCCTTATAATATGTGGTGGGTGAGGAGGGGAACAAGTTGTAGATAATAAAAGATGACAGAATGTTGATAATTCTGGAGCTGGGTAATGGATATATGGGAGTTTATGATACTATCCTGTTCACTTTGTCAATAATAAAAAACTAGAAACAAAAAACTAAAGACATACAAACCACAAATGCAACGTTCTATTATCTGACTCATCAGAAATACAATTACTCAGTCAAGTCGATATACAAGTTTCTAGTAATTTACTCCCAGTCACAAACTAGTTACAATCTAGACTGGTACCACTTTTTGTGGCATTGTTCTAACTCTCATGGCCTCATTTTTGTCTTCTCTGAATAATAATAATAGTAATAATATAATAATAATAAAACCTCTTAGAGGTTGTATAAGGATGAAATCATAAAATACAGGTAGATATGTGCCTGGCACAGAAGTGTTCCAAAAGCATTAGCTATTATTCTCATTAATATAACTTGAAAGTTTTTTAAATTTCTAAGTTCTATTTAGTTGCCAGTAATTTCAGGTTTTTTTCTGAGTTAAATCCTTAAACTTTGAGCTTATTGCTCAAATATTTCTGCATATATCTTTAAGTCAAAACATAAAAAAGAAGAATCATGTGCTTTACTGACAAGGAAACTGAGGTTTAATGATTATGTGCAGCAGACATTCCCAGGGCGGCGGCCCTGGCACCACCATCCCTTGAAACAAAGGAGTGGTTCCATAAACAAGTCTTTGCTGTAAGACCCCTTCCTGGCCGCGGTGATCTATCCCAGGGCAGATTCCCAGCGATGGCTGAGTGGATGGGATTCCTTCTCCCAGACCTGAAGCTGCATCCTCGGCAGCTCTCTGCAAGGGTTCTCAAACCCTGCTATCGTGTTCCCGCCTTTCCAGGGGCTGGGGAGCTGGCTCTTCCAATGGGTCTGTGCCAGGGCTTCCCCAGCATCTTTCTGACACTCACCTTTTACCTCTAAGCTGGTCACAGTCAGTTTCCATTACTTAGATGACTGAAGAGGACCACAACCAAGTTCTAGAACACATGTATCTTTGTGTGAGACACTCAACCGGCATCTGCTGAGAGCTTACTTTGCAAGGCACTGTACCAGCTCTGTGCTGCCAGGGCCAACAAGGTTCTGACAGAAGAGCAGAAGGGACATTACAAGGAGAGAACAGCAGAAAAGCACAGGGAACTGAAAGCAATACATTCTCACTGCAGAATAAGGCATATGAAGGCACATAGCTAATCCTCAGCAAAGCTTTGCTGAGTTTACATTAGATTAGATATTATAGGAGACAGTCAGTTGTTGAAACATATACGGCATTGAATACCAAACTAAGGGATTTAGAGTTTACATCCCTCAGAACTGGGGGGCCGCTGCTGGTTTCTGCGCAGATGAGGCCTATTGTACAAACCGTGCTTTGGAAAGAACACTTAACATCTTGGCGGGTCCACATGAACGCTCAGCTTATTACTGGGCTGAGATTTGGGTATGTATGTCTTCAACTAGGGACATTTATCAGCACCTTGCACAGAGAGCAAAAAATTTTGTTTCAATGTCAAAATGACACTTCCGCATGACTCTCCTCAAGAACTGAAGATACTTGCAAATACAGTATATTAGACAATTTCATCTTCTGGCCTGGATCAAATTAAATGAAGCTGTCAGCAAAATTAATGAAAGGTCAACAGTGTTTCTACACTGATGATGGCGCAGAGGCAGACATCCCCTCAGGACCATGTCATAACTGAGAAACTGTTGTACTTTCCTGTACCCCGTCTAATGCAAACAGCCCAAGTTTCACGGGATGAGCCTTACAGAACTCTCTAGAGCATAAGGAAGGGAGTTACGCAGGTGTCCTGCATATGCAATCTTGTTACCAGAAAGTGTATTTTTAAATACAGATCCTGATATCATTGTTACCCCAATTTAGAAAGCTGTACTTTTTCAACCACACAAATGACAAAAGTGTGTATTCAGAAGTACACTATTCCCTAAATTTTAGGGAACTAACAACCTAAACATAAAAATTTATCTGCTTTTTCTACTAGAAACTATTTACATGGCCACTTGATGTAATAAACAATTAAGTATATAAGACGCGTTGGAAAAGCGTATCAATGCTATCCAAACAAGTAGGCTGTCTTTGAACAACTCGTTTTTCTTGCCTTTCAAATAAAGGGAACCAAAAATTTCGTCAATAGACGCGCACGTGACGATCAATGCCTGCGATGCGGGCGCTCGGCGCCGCCCGCGGCCTCCCGCCCGCCCGAGCCGCCTACTCACAGCTCTGGTCTCGTAGAGAACCAGCTTCTGGACCGAGCTGATGATAGGGGCGGCGGCTGCGGGCATGGCCGGGGGACGCGGGGCCCACGGCAGGGCCCGGGAGAGAGGACGCCTCAGACCCACAGCGGGTCCAGCCGCGGACGACACCGCGGGGCTCCGAACAACCCAGTGACCTGCAGCCCAGGGCTTCCGACCCAGCGGCAGCGGCGGCCAGCCCCACTCTGCGCAGGCGCGGGCGGAGGGCGTACCACTGGGAGGCGCGTGACGTCCCGGAGCCTGCGCGCAAAGGGCGCCATCTTTTGTGAGGGCGGAAGAAAAAGTGGGCGGAGGACAGGTCGCCGGCCTGCTCGCCCGTGGGCTGTGGGCCCGTCCCGGGTGTTTGGGGCCCACTGCTTCCCTCCAGCGGGCCTCCGGGCGGCGTGCCCCGCGTTCCCAGGTGGCCCCCTTCCGGCTCGTACTTCCTAAGCCCGGCCGCGGGCTGCTCCGCGCGCCGGTGTCCCTCACGGCTCTGCTCTCCCAACCCTGTGGAAGTCAGCATCCGCAGGGCCAGAGGCGGCGGGCTGCGGGGATTTTTTAAAATCGCCTTTTTAAAAAATCACCGGAGGTGGAGATATGGGGCTTTGCCACGTGTTTGTGCCTGCGGCCAGCCATTGTGAGCCCCTCAGAGTCTGCGCGGCTGGGGCGGCGGCGCGACCTGGGCGGCAGGCTCTGGTCAGCGTGCTCGCGGCGGCACGCGCCCGGAGGCGGCCCCGCCCACCGGGCCTGGCGCGGGGCGGGGGCGGTGCCCGCCCGGGGAAGGGAGCCCTGCCCGCTGCCCCGCCTGCCGCCGGGTGTTTCCTAGGCGACGGGGCAGTGGACGCGGAGTCCCCGGGCGGCCGCGGCGCGGGTGAGCTGCGGGGCCGTCCCGCGCCCGGGACGCGCTGGGTGGGTTGGATGGCGGCGCCTTCGCGCGAGGCCCAGGCAGTTCCTTCCCTGCAGAGCCGACCTCGGGGCCCTCCGTGAACTGCCGGTCGCCGCCTCGCCTCCGCAGCTGAGGTGCTGGGTCGGCCGGGGACGCGTCTCCCCGGGCGGCGGGGGACGCGGGGCTGTCGGGCCTGCGCGCGGGCCGCCTGTCGGCGCAGAGCCCACCGCCGGACGGCGTCGGGAAACCAACGTTTTTAACGGAATCGTGGCACGACCAGAACCAGTGGGATCCTGCGCGGTGTGTTGTGAACCCCACACTGAGAGTCGAATTTGAATCCTCTGCCCGCCTGGTACGCCCTGTGTTGCCTGGGGAGATGGCGGTGTCGGTCCTGGCGCTTTACACTGACTTGGGTCTTTCAGCCAGGAAAATACTTAGTTCCGTTTACTAACGGAAACCCAACTCTTCTGAAAATGAGTTGAGTATTTGCAGTGTTTTCATTTAGAGCAACAGCTTAAAATACCTGTACAATTCTGCTCTCATATTTGGTTTTCTGTTATGATATTATAGTATATTTAGGCAGTCCTAATTGAAACTTGTCTTAGTTTGGCTCACCCAGAAGCAGATCCTGAGACAAAACTTGGAGGGCAAATGGTTTATATGGGAAGTAATGTCAGGAAACAACAGCAGGGAAGGGAAGGAAGCCAATGGAAGGAATATTGTCAAGCCGACTTCTCTGTGGGCTGAGTTCCCTGGGGAACACTGGGGTGTATGTCCCATAGTTAATAAGGCCAAGGAGCCGGCCCATTTATTCACCAGCTCCCATCAGTTACCAGTTGAGGCCTGTTTATGGCCGAACATTAATTCATCAGAACTTCCAGCCTGCCCTGTGCTCAGGCAGACCAGATTGTGGCCGCGAACGAGCCCTTCGGCACAGAGTCACCCACGCTGGCAATTGGAAGTTGGGCTGTGCATGCATGGAAAAAGCGCGTGTCAAGTGCTAAGTTAGCAGTAGCATCTGCTGCATTCCAACCTTTGTACCACTCACATCCACTCTTCCCCACATCACGGTCACACCATCCTGTCACTGATTCTTCACAGTGGTGGCTGGTCCCAATTTCTAATACAAAAGGACTCACCTAAAGGTGATGAGTGGGACAAGCTACTGAATCGACTTCTGCAGTAGTCACACAAGGGTGTGGCTCATCGGGGCTGACTGTGGAGTGCGTTGTCACACCCCTCTCATCCGTCCATTCACGTGCCTCGTCCCCAGAACGCTTTTTCTCTTACCCTCCAATCTTTCTCCTTCCAGGCCCTTGACCAAGCCATTCAGCCTTGTCCTCCAAATCGAGGACCTGAGAGTATTGCTTAAAGCTCTGCCCGCCGGGAGCATCTCCTGTAATCACCATCTTTCAGGGCCACCCTGAGTGCGACTGAAGTCTGGAAGCATTCCATTTAGAGCTTTCACCAGTATGTTATGATTCATCCATGATCTTTTTTCCGTTTTCTATCAGCTGTCCCTGGGAGATTTCATACAAGGTGTGGACCAAAGAGAGACAGTGGTCAGCAACAGACAAGTGACATGGGGGCCTGGGCTGCTTACTCTTGCTCCTCGAGCGGGGAGCTGCTGTAAATAAAGGTCTTTCCAGCTGCACCCCGTTCTGGGCTCAGGAACCAGGAATATACCACGAGATGATCCTGCAGCCCCTTTGGACGCACTGTGAGATGGGCTTGAGCCAAGACCCCATTCATCACTGGTTTTCCGTCTGCTCTCAGTAACAGAGCCGTGAAGGCATTTGGGGGCGTCTGCTGCTGTTGACGTCGGCTCAGACCCTGGGTCCGATAGCCCAGGAGGAGGAGAGTCCCATATCCACAGTGTATATTTCTCCAGTGAACGGTTGTAGGTTCTCTTGGAGAAGGATTGGAGGTCCCCTACTGTAAATACTTGTTAGGGTGTTACAGTGTCCATCCTCGGGGACTCCTTGGCAACCCTTCAATAAGTGGGTTCTCGAGCTGCTGACCAGGAATCATGATTTTCCCTGTGGCTGCTGCCAGTAGCTTCTGGGTGCCTTGTCCTTTACTCTTTTTGGAATACCATCTCCCAGTTTAAAGAAGTGCCCTTCTCTTCCTGGTTGCTAAGAGGTTTATCTTGTATTAATCATTAAAGGGTGTTGAATTGTCTCTTGTAGTTGTTCTACATCTAGTATGATGATAATACAGTTTTTTCTCCTTCATTTCAATATGACAAGTTGGTTTTCTCAAACTAAACCAGCCTGGAGTTCCTGGGGAAAACCCAGCTTGGGCACAAAAACGTGTGCTTTTTTATGTATTGCTGGATTCAATTTGCTAATATTTTGATTAGGGTTTTTCAAATCTTGTTCATAAATGAAATTGGCACATAATTTTGCTTTTTGACAATATTCTGTTCCTTAAGATGGAGGATAAGGGAGACCCATAAAAGGGTGTAAGAAGTCTCCACTTTATCTTTCCTCTGAAAGAGTGTCTGTAAGACTTGGAGCTCTTCAGTAAAACTATCTGGTTTCTTTGTGGGGAGATTTTTTAGTTACTGACTCAGTTCCCGAAATAGTCATAGAACCATTCTCAATTTCTTTTTCTTAAGAAGCTGATTTTTCTAGGAATTTATCAATTTTGTTTAAATTTTCATATTATTTGGGATAGCTTCTTGTTATCTGTACTATAACTGCAGCACTGTTATCTCTGTAGTCCTTCCCCCTTTCTATGCCTGATTTGTTTGATCAAGTAGACACTAAACATTAAGCATCACGGAAGATTTAACCAATAAATTCACAAACTTGATCTAAACAACATTTAAAGAACACAACATCCATCCAATGTAAATTGTGCATCCCTTTCAAACATACAGGGAATGTTTTTAAATTACCAGGTGCTAGGCTATAAGGCAAGCCTCAATGAATTTCAGCGAACTAATATGTGGAGAACATTCTCTGATTATAATGAGAGTTAGAAATAAAGAATAGAAAAAGCTTGGTTTAGAGATACAAGAAAACACACTTCTAGGAAACGAATGTCTAACACTGTTCCTTCTTCATCAGTCTTGACAAAAGCTTCCTAAGTCTTTTCAAAATACCGTTTCACTTTATTGATCCTCTATTAATGTTTGTTTCTATTTTATTAATTTTTAAAATATGTTTTTCTAATTTTCCTGTTTTTCTAATGCCTTAAGGTGGGAGCTTATCTTGGTTTTCAGACTTTCTTTGGTTCTAATAGAAGTACTTAAGGCTTCTAAATACTACTTTAGCTATATCTTATAAATTGTATTATATATTATGTTCTTTTTTTTTCAGTTCTACTTTTCTGATTTCTATTAGAATTTCTTTTAGAGCCATTAGTAGTTCCTACACATGTACACATATTGTATTAAGTATATGTATAACATATACATATGTGTATATGTATAGCTATTTAATTTTATCTTTAATAGAATACACCATATATAAATTATACACCATATATACACATATATATGCATTTATTCCCCTGATTTAGTCTTTCAGAAACACTTGGTGAACTGTCTTTTGTAAAGCATTTTGCTGGATTTTGCTTTTTGTCTCAAACTAGGTGAAAGCTAATCGTTTTAACAAGTAAGCTTAACTTATTTGTAATTATCGGCCAAGTCCATGTGTTTAGTGGTGTGGAACGTCTTTTAGGCTAAGTAAACCCACAGGATATTCTCGTTCTCCCTGACCTGCGTATGAGTTCTCACTCGTCAGGCGCTTTAACGATCCCACTCCTCGTGTTGCAGCATTCTGGATTATGAATTCTCGAGAGGGGGCGGAAGAGCGCCCTTTTGCAGATATATTTAATGAAGATGAAGCTGAAGAAAATCTGCTGCTGTCTAAACCTGTTTGCTTTGCTGTATTTGGGAAACCAGTAAGTTAGTTATCTTTTCTAATTCATTATCTAATATAATCTTTTTATTTTTTAAATAATAATCTTCTGTTACCATACAAGAGTAAAAAGCACATAGTATGGTCATTTTTTGAGTTTTTGTTAGCCTTTCAATGAATGACTTAAAATTTGATATGACATTGATTGTAAACTCATAACTTTATTACTGTGCACCATGATTGAAAAGGGACTTAGATTGTATCTATCTTTCATTACCTTTTGTTTATCGCCTGAGCACTGCACCAGAACAACTGTTAGGGGAATGTGATCCCGGGTTGTTGGAGACTCGTTCTGCATCTGAAACTTTCTGGGTGTATGAAGGCAGCCCCGGGAGGGCCCCCCATTAAACCCTCAACGTTGTGAGGAGCAGCGTGCCTCACCTTGAACCACAGTGCGTCAGCGGACCTCGTCTGTCCACAAAGCAGGAAGACCCCAAAAGCGGTCATAATTTAGGTTGCCTTTCTAGGCAGTTGGAGTAAGGACCTCTGGATAAGAGCTTTTTCAGCCACCGAGCTAGTGGGTCGGTAGGTTAGAGGGCCTGAGCTGGTGAATTAAAGAGCCCCTCCTGAGCAGCAGAGACTAAGGTGAGGGCCAGATACCATCTCTGACTTAATTTATACAGACCCTGGGACAGGGACCAAGAAATGTTTCCGATGACTTTCAGATGTTTCTAGAAATATAGTAGAGTTCCCAGGTCAACAATGAGAGTAGTCAGACATATATGTTTCCTCATTAAAATAATCTTCTGTTTTTAAAGTATGATGCTTTCAAAGATGTCTGTTAAGAATTTTTTGCTCTTGGAAGTTACTAAATGGAAGTCTACCAAGACATTAATGATTGTAAACTTTAGGAAGGAAATGAAATGATGAATCTCAATATAATCACAATGATATATACTCAAAATTACAAATTTTGAGTCAACAGAGTAAAAGTCAACTGTAAACAGAGTTTACAGTCAACAGAGTAAAAGACCCAGAATGCCGTATGGCAGTGTCCTAGTTTCGGGGCTTTTCTTAATTAAAATTCCATTTATATCATTTTATAAAATGTGGCAAATGTGACAAGTAGTAGAGAAAAATGAGGCTATAAATATCTAGGGTGTGTTCTTCATTTATTTTATGAGAAAAAAATTTATCAGATAACATTGATGTAACAGTGATCATCAATAGAATCTTTAAAAATGAAAACATCTATTTCACTGGCAAATAGCTGTTCTATTGGGTTTTAAATAACATCTTTCTTTTTAAGGGGGTTGGGAAGACAACCTTAGCCCGTCAGATAACACAGGCATGGAAATGTATTCGTGTAGAAGGTAAATTCTGCCATTTTTCCCCAATATTTTACTATAAAAACTTAAAAATGCATAGAAATGTAAAGAATTAGCAGTAAGCACCATGTACCCATCTAATCATCATCTAGATTCTATGATTAACATTTTGCTATATTTGCTTTACTCTGTGTCATTATCAACCCAGTGAAGGTTCTCTTTATAATGGCATTAAGCATGTTTTACCCTCTGTTGGTCCTAGTTTTGTTCACAGCATTTAGGAGGGGTTATGAAATGCCTTTGACTCCCGTCTTCTGCCTCCAGTTCTTTAATTCTGTAACTTAGAACTCTTGGGGACGCGGCTGGTGCAGGTATGTCCCTAGGAATGAAGAGAAGAGGAGAGACTCACCTCTGCTCTCAGGAGCGTTTTCCAGAGTTTACTTATCTTCAATGATAAATTTTATTTTTTATTATTTATAAATTGCTTCGCATTCTTTGCAGTGTGTAAGGATTGGCATCTTATGTTCTTTTAATTAATATAACTATAGCCTAATACAAAAATAAGCAATAGAATTAATTGGCAATTCAAAAAAGAAGAAATAAAAATAAACAAATATAGGAAAAGAGTTCAACCTCATTGTTACCCAAAAAATGCTAATTAAAATAACACCGACCCATATTTGCCTATCAAGTTGTCAATAAATCTTCAAAGTTTCTACAATCATTATTGGCGAAGATGTTTTGAAACAAGGTTCTACTCTGCTACAGTTTTGGAGAAGAACAATTTGGTGACAAGTAGCACATGTGTGCATGTGCACACACATACACACACACACACAAAAGCTTTACATTTTTCTACTTTCTTTGATCAAAAAAATTCACCTGTGGGCAAACCCAAAGAATACTAAATGTTTTGTGGATTATTAGCAGCTAGGGACACAGTTCAGCTCCTGAGTCTTCTCCTAGGTCATGACCCTGTCATTTCTGTCCCAGGTTGTCTTCCATCAAGGGTTGGAATATTTCCCCCTGAAAAGGAAATAAATCATTGGCATTTCAGCCTCAGGACCCCTTTTTCTAATCAGCATTATTTTCACATTTCTTGATGCATCATTAGCGGGTTCTGGATATGGTTGTGTGTGTATGTGTGTATGTATGGTTATAAAAGTATCTAGATCAGTAATGCTAGTGTATACTTTTGTGTGATACTTTCCAGGGTCCAAGTACCTGGGATAGATGCAACCTCATTTCATCTTCATAGTCTCCTGTATGCTCCTACGCAGGGCGTAAGCGTGCGAGGAGCAGAGGTGTTTAAGAAGTTAGCTACTCAAGATCCTTTAGCTAGCGAGTGGCAGCGAGAAGTTCTCTGTGGAATATGTTCTGCTGCCTTATACTTTGGTGGGGTTAGACGACATACTGTGTATAAATGTGGTTTGTAAACTCTGAAGTGATATACACATATCTTTTTACCAGTTACTAAGCACATGGGATATGTCTCTTCATCTGTCAGTTCTAATACAGTTTGTGCTAATACTTTGAATTCATGTTTTAGCTTTACCAATTTTGGAAGAACAGATTGCCAGTGAAACCGAGTCAGGACTTATGGTAAATAAATCTAAGTTTCAAAGCTACTGTGACTTTTTGAAAAGCTCTGTGTCCCAGATGTACTCTGCACCAATATGCAATATCTGTGCTTGTTCTTAGCTGCAGTCACTGCTGCTCAGTGGTCAGAGCATTCCAGATGAACTCGTCACAAAGCTAATGCTGGAGAAGCTCAACTCCCGAGAAGTCTCTCACTTTGGTATGTTTATTTTTATGCATTGGTAGCTATCAAAGTAGCCTTAAAACTCACGCCTTAGCTGAGGCATGAATAATTCCCGGAGTTGCTCTTTCTTTTCCCTGGTACAAGAACCCCAGAGTCTGAATTTAGTTGAACACCTCAGATAGTTTTATTTGCTTTTTTGATTCTATTCTTCAGAGTCTACCTTTGCAAAAAATAAAATAAAAAATGAAAGCATATATGATCCAACCTTCTTTTAGCTGTGTATTACCCAGCAAAAGCTGGGGTCCTCTGGCGCTGACAGCCTCTGCTGCTCCCCATTCACCCTGAGTCTTATTACCAAGTCCTGTCGAGGGTTAGGTTTTCCTGCGTCAATCCTCGTGTAAGGGCAAGAGTGGGAACTAGAATGACACCTACTTCCCGTCTGGCTCCATATGTTGGCTTCCGCCTGTTCAGTCCACCCTCTGACTCTGGATCCGGGAAACCTCAGTTGTATTCAGACAGATGCCAAGCAGGGACCTTGGACCTATCCTCAAGATAAAGGTGACCAAAGCTCAGAATGGCTAAAAAGAAAAGAGCAAACTTAGTAATGTTTGCAAAAGGAGGAAGAAGAATAAACATGTGCTTAGGGGAGAACCATCCACCTGAAACAGATTTATTGAATGAAAGAAGAAACATTTAGAAAGTTGTTTTATATTCTCAGTAAGTTAGGGGAGAACATTGGACCTATTAAGATTACAGGGATAAAAATAAGAGCAGTAAAGTAAAAACCATGGTTGCTAAAGCAAGTCAGTAATAGAGAAAGCAGAGCAGACCTGTCCTTACACACTGTCTGCAGCATCCATACCTGTAGGTAGAATGGGCTCTCTATGTAGATTATGTACGGAACCAGCTTTGTCTGTCTGTCCACATATAGATATCTACCTATAGCATCTTTACCTGTAGGTAGAAAGGGCTCTCTTTACATAGATTATATACCCATATACAGATATCTATATATCATCTATTATGTACATAAATATGTATATATATGTATACATACATTATCCATCCATCCATTCATCTGTTGGTCAGTGATAAAGAGGATGAACTTGGAAAAAACACCCAGAATGTGGTAGCTTGAATGAGTAAAAAGTTAAAAAGAACAATCACAGAATTCCAACATAGTCAATAAATGACCTCAAAAAGCATAGTGATGCAGCATAGAGAATACAGCCAGGGTTCTGTAACATCTTCCCATGTTGACAGATAGTAACTGCACTAGTGGGGGTGAGGAGTTAATACTGTGGGTAACTGGTGACCCACTGTGTTGTATACTTGACACCAATATAAGATTGTTTATCAACTATACTTAAGTAAAAAAAAAAAAGCATAGTGATAGAAACTGAAGTATGTATAAAAGTAGGTAGGCAAATGCCTTTTTGTTTATACTCTATCATACTCTATCTCACCTTATCTCTTGAAAATTTTAATTTAGAGTGATTTACATAGCTACAAGAAGATGGTATAAATTACACATATTGACAAGAAGAAAAAAATGAAAAAAATAAACCTACTCAGCCATGCCATCACCATGTTCATAATTTTTAAACTTCTTATTATGGGAAATTTCAAACAAAAGTAAAGAGATTGATGTAGAATCCCCTTCATGTGTCCATCACCCACTTCAACAGTGACAACGCTTGTCTAATTTTATTTCACGCAAACCCCAACCTACCTTATTTTGAAGCTAATGCATATCATATCAGTTCACCTGCAGCTGTTTTAGTATGTATCTCAAAAAGATAGGGACTCTTTTTAAGCTGTCACATGATCATTATCATACCCATAAGATTAATAATAAATCATCTACTAACCAGTCTGTAGTCAGATTTCACTATTTGTCCCATATGTTTTTTTTCTAGTTTCGTTTTTTTTTTTTTTAAGCAGAATCCAACCAGGTTTTACACACTGCAGTTAATTCGTATGTCTCAAACCCTTTAAATCTGTAAGGTCCCCTTACTTCTTTCCATCACCTTGTGTTTTCTGTGTTGAGGAACCTGGTTATTTGGCTTGTAGAGTTTCCTGCATTCTGGATTTTGCTGAATGTATCCCCTGTATCATTTAATGTATTCCTTTGTCCCCCAGACTCCCCGTGTGCTGGTAGGTGTCCTGAGGACTGGCAGAGGAGAAGTGACATAAGTGATTTCTTGAGCTGAGGGCCGCACTACATGGGGCCACGTTCTGGGCTGCAGAACTGGGCTCCTTTACAGGCTGCAGGGGCGGCAGAGCTCCTCCTGCCAAGACTCCCCTCACCCACCCCCTAGCATCCCCAGAGGAACTTCCTGGGAGCCTAGCCCCCTGCCAGGCTTCAAAGTGTGCTCAGCAAGGCTTCTGTCTGCCATTTGGTCTTACCCAGCAGCCTGGGAGATGGTAGAAACAAAGGACTTTCGAATCAGGGATGTCAACTTGGGTGAGGGGTGGGTGCGGCTGCATGGTTGATGCAGAGTCCCTGCCGACAGATGGGTGCAGCTGGGGACAGTGCACAGTGGAGCACCGCCAGGCTCAATCTTAATGTTTTCTGTACCAGAGCCCTTTTCTGCTTGGAACTTTTATCACTACTTAGAAGGAACTCACACAGTCTCTTCTTACACTCCTTTCATTCACAACTCCATGAAATGCATCCTCACCCAGGAGGAAAAGGGACAGTCAATGCCTGGGCCTCTGAGAAGCCCCTCTCTGCTTCCTGCTTCTAGATTCCAGGAATCCTCCTCCCCAGGTAGTGGCTGGAGGCTCTGGTCAGGCATTCCCTGCCCCAGCTGCATCACGCTGTGGATTGTCTTATAAATTGTGGGTCACCAGTGTCCAGTCTTTGTTTGGCTTGAGGCCAGACAGCTCTCAAGGCTGACACTAAGCTGCCTGATGTCTCTGCTGCCTTCAGCTCTGTGGAAATAGGGATACCTTCCTCCCACTATGCCAGGAAGAGTGGACAAAGCGATTACAGGGGCTACTTGGTTGCCCCTGGACAATCACATGACAGCCTTTTGGTTCTCACCTGGTGAGGGGGATACCAGCTGGGTGCCAGCTGGGGGGTGCCTGCTCTGCCTGTGGCGATACGTGCAGAGCTGTGCAGCAGGCAGGGGCGTGGGCTGTACGGCTCCTCTGTTTTCAGCATGAAGGGCGAGGGCTTGGCTGTGGTATTGAGGCTATGTGGGGACAGGCTGGGGGAGTCTTCAGCTCTGCCTCCCTTCTCAGCGTGCCTACGGGATGGGAGAAGCCGGCGGTGGGCTCAGGAGCCCTGGGCTTTCTACAATGAGGCATCCCCAGCATCCCCCAAGTTCTTCCCAGAATTGGGTCTAGAAAGCTAAGTTCTCCCCTAAATATTCAGTGGTGAGACACTCTTAGGCAACAGAGCAATCCTTCCCACCTCTCCCTGGACAGCACTCCTGGGGTCCAGATAGGATGATGCTGGCCACCTCGCAATGGGTAGAGCCCAAAAATCCACTGCTCAGGCAATTCAGGCAGCCCACACAACGGCCTAAGCATCTGCTGATAGATGAGTGAACAAATGTGTCTAACAGAACAATCTCAGAATCCTCCCCTGAGAACATACTCGTCACAACCTTTTATGCTACGGCTATGGGGGGCAGCCGGACCCCACGCAAATAAGCCGCTCTTGTGCTTCCACCGGAGAGATGAAATGTGAGACTCGCACGCCTGCACACGGTTCACCGGGAGTCCCCGGTGAGCTCTGCAGATGGTGGCAGTGGCCGTAGGAAGGTGCAGGGTGCTGGAGCGCACAGGTGTTGTCCTGCCATCCGCTCGCGAGGCACAGATGTTGGGCAGCGTCGCCAGCAGTGGGAGTGAAGGGAGGTATTGTGTCGTCTCTTGTTGCTTAGAAGGGAAGGGCATGACACCTGGAGACTGACTGTTTTCTGTAAATGTCTGGCGAGGAAGGACGAACTGGACAAGGGCTGTGTTCGGTGCAGGACTGGCCGTGCAGTCCTCTACCACACTCTCACCTGTGCGGGGCGCCAGCCCTCACATCCCAGGGACACGGGTCAAAATCTTGACAAGTTCAGGTAAGGTTTCAAGTGGAGGTAGATTAACGATAGATGCCAAACTAAAGTAGGGAGTGAGAGGCCAGGAAAGCCAAAATCAAGAACAGCAGGAGAAGGCAAGCAGAGACAGGTCCGGTCCGGCCCCCGACAGTGCCCAGGCACGCTGTGGCTGTGCGTCTGCAGGGCTGTGTCCGGTCCATGTAAAAGCCCTGAACAGGATGCATGCCTTAGGATGCCACCACTGCTCCAGAGGGTCTCAAAGACAGCAGCAAGAGCAGATAAGTCTGCCATCTTGGAGGCTCAGGATCATAGGAAGATGGGAGAGAATCATGATTATAGCTCATACCCCCAGAACCAAGGTGACGGGTCTCCCTTTCTGCCTTTTGAATTTAAACTACCCAGGATCGCTTCTTTGAAGAGTGTCCAACACATAGTCAGAAGAAAGCAAATGCTTGAAGAAGCTCAGGAGAAATTGGCACACGCCTTCCTAAGCATTTAATGAGACTTTGTATTGCTGTGAGAGCTGCTGGTCTGCATTTTTAGAATAAAAGGTTGTGATGAGTATGTTCTCAGGGGAGGATTTTGAGATTGGTCTATTAGACACATTTGTTCACTCATCTATCAGCAGATGCTTAGTAACTTTTTTTATTATACTGTTCTGGACATTGCATAGGACAGCAGTTCTCAAACTTACTAGCCTCGACTCCGTCATACTTAGAGAATTGTTGAGGCCCCCAAAGAGCCTTTGCTTGTATGGTTTATATCAGTATCATAGTAGAAATTAAAACTGAGAAATGCCTAAAATGTTTTTAAAGTAGTAAAACCGCCACATGTTAGCATAAATAGCATATTTTATGAACAATAATTACAGTCTTGAAAACAAAAAATTTAGTGAGAAGAGTGGTAATTTTATGTTTTTTTTAATCTGTTAATGTCTCACATGAGCCCTTGCTGGATTCCCACATCTGCTTCCACTCAATCTGTTGGAATATGTTGTTCATGTGGAAGTCTATGAAGAAAATCCAGCCTCACACAGACCTGTAGCTTAAAAAGGAAGAAGTATTTTAATAGCCTTTAGAATATTTGTGGATATTCTTGATTCTACATGAAAACTCAGCAAGGAGGTTTCTTTAAGATTAGTTGCATTGTAGAATCTGAAATCTGATCAGCAAACCTTTCAAACTCTGTTACATTGAAATCCATTCGTTTGTCTTGCACCAGGAATGGGTCTTTCCCCCGTATGTGATTTTGGGTCACCATGCTTTGGTTATTTGGAAAATACCAGTCCATTGAATTGTGCATATCTTCCAAACATTGACACATTTCATTATACAATATCAAAAAATCGCATTGGCTAATATCACCACCAATACCGTCAGGAAAGGTTTTAAGAATTGGGAAGCTGTTAAGCTTGTGGCAGTGGATACAAGTTTTCTAAAATTTGATTTTTCACTTGAATTTTATAATTGGCAACAAATACTGTCAGTTGTCCTTGAAGTGATAGTGCTTTTTATAAAATGTCTGCCAAATACTAAAAAGCCACAATTTGTCAGTTGTTCTTGCAAGAAAATAAATGTGTTATTTAAAGAGCAGAAAAATTGATTGGAGGGTTTTCATTCTTACTGAAGGACTTGAGACTTTATTAATATGAAGAAAGTTCCTCAACAAGAGAGTGACATAATGGAAGAAATGTATTAAGGAAATTAATGTGAAGATGGCAAACGGTGAATTCAATGAGAAGATTTAGTTTCTGGGTAGGGATGCAAACCAATAAATGTGCTAAAACAAAATCATATTTCTGATATTCTGCCTCTTAAGTTATATGGGGGACACATGGGTGTTTCATTACTTTGTATAACTCACATAAATATTTTATACATATATATTCTGTTATGAAATAATTTGAGAAAGAAAAATAATATACCACGCAACCCTTATAAGGTATCTTTACATTCATTATATAAGCTTTCCTAACATGAGTTAGAAGAATAATCAGGTTGGAATTTCCTTCCTAGAAAAGGAAATAAATGGGCCTAAAGTAAATAGATTTGGAATTTTTAAAGGTAGCTCATCCTCACCCTGTGATTTTATTTATTTGTTATCAGAAAAACATTGTTCAAGTTATACTTCGAGTGGCAATAACCTTAACTATTAATCATAAATTTTTGACAGATGATTTTAAGACCTACGTTAGCATTTATCAGTAACTAAATGATAGTTTATAAAGCAGTAATAATAAATCCATGCTCTATCATAGAATGATAACATTGTAAAACTTTAGAAACTGTATTTTTATTCCACAGGTTATATTATCACTGAAATGCCATCACTTTCACAAGATGCCATGACAACATTGCAGCAGATAGAACTAATTAAAAATTTAAATTTGAAACCTGATGTTATCATCAATATTAAGGTAAGAATATTAGTTGCTTTTCTAGTATAGTTAATCATTCTTTTTGATAGTAGTGAAATTCAAGGAATGTTCTCACAAAATATGAGTGGTTAGAGAGATAATAATTATGCATCAGCCATAGGGCTGAGTTGAGCTTCCTCAGCCCGCAGTGCCCGGCGCCTGTGGGTGCATTCAGGGCCCATGTCCTCTTCACCAGGCATCGTCAGAGTTCCCCTTCGAGAGTCATTCAGGCAGCATCTCTCCAGACTTGACTCCAAGCCGTGGTCCCCTCATGACGTTGGAATACGATAGCAGATTCTTAACCCGCCCGAGCAGTCCGTCTCCAGTGTGCAAACTGGCTTTGATCATGACATTGGGCTGCTTCTCCTACAGGGTGCTTAAGAATTGAGTGAAATAGTACGCGTGTGGTGAATGTACTTTGAAATAAGAAAAGTTCTCCTAGACTTTGGTTTGGCTTGTTTTACTATCTAGATCCAGTTTTCTCATTTATAAAACATTTAATTATATGAAGGTTAGACTAGAATGGATGACCTTTCAGGCCTCATTCATGACAGCCACTGTATAGAATTCTTTATCCATGAGGTTGTGAATGATGGTAAATGCTGTAAATACACCATTTTTTCAGTGGAAATATGTATTATCCCCCTGCTTTTCCTCCATTCTCAGCCTTCCTAAAGTAATGTGAGTCCTATGTACTTTTGCAGAGTGAACCAATTTTTATTCTGGTTCTCTGACTCTTTTTACTGTTCTAACCTTCTTTTTTCATCACAAAACTTCCGATACTTTCTCACATACATTAATTTCAGACAAAGTATTGGTACAGCCTAAAAGTTGTGTCTTGGCCTCTCCAGGCATGACTCCAGACACTACATGCCATTCACGATACTGCGTCTGCCCAGGGTTTCAAGGAGGTTTGGTTTGTGTATTGATCGCATCATGTCTGAGTAGGAAGGAAAAGCACATTCAGAACGCTTAAGTGGTCACCGATGTCGCTTCTTAGTGCCCTGACTATGATTTATGCCGAAGAATTTCTGGACAAAGGCAGCACAGCAGCACAGGGCACCTATGCGGAAGAGACCAGTGGGATCCCGAGATCATCGAGAGTCGCAGGAAGAAGGGAAGAGACGCCCAGAAGGAAGGGAAAGAGGAGGTAACGGCCCCTTTTCCAACTTACCGCCAGTAGGTTAAAGGAGAGCCTTGGCAGAGAGGGTGGCAGCCACTGGAGAAAAATTACATTTTCTTTAAATTTTTATTTAGTCTGCAGGAAATAACAAAAATATTTCATGCTTTCAGCAACTATTAGATCATAATGTCCAGGTCCTCGGGTTTGACCTTCCTGTCAGTGTGGCAGTCCCTCCATATCCTGACAGCTGACCTGAGCGTGCTTGGTCACCTCCGATGTGCTAAGCAATCCAGAATGAGGAATTACAAGAATAAAAGACAAAGTGTTATATGGGGAGCAATTTATGAAGTTAACTCAATTCCAAAGTCCGACAGAGAGAGCACATGAGAGGAAATCTGTAGCCCAGTTTCACACATACGTGTCGTTAAAACAATCCTAAGGCCAAGGACGGGAAGCGCAGTCAGTAGGGCATTCGATGCCTCTTCTCCCGGGACTTAGGGAGGAAGCTCTGATACTAGGAAACCTGTTAGCAGGTGGCGGTCCGGACTCGGCCCACCAAGGCAGGCTGGGCCATAGTCTGCCGGTCCCTGCTCTACTGAAATGTGCAAGTGATCTCTCTTATAAATTAGTTTATTTATAGTTTTTAATAATGTTATGTATTTTTATAATTGCCAGAATTTATAACTTATTATGAATTTATTGTAAATAAATACTATTTCTATTAGGGTCTAGACTCTGTGAAGTCAGATGTTAACTTAGAGGTGGATACATTGTGAATCATGTGTCGGGTAGAAAGGACTCCCCCAGGTTGTACTGCCCCGCAGCCTATTAAGCTGCCCCGTATCTAGCTTGGCAGTCGTATTTCAGTGGTTATATTTACTTCAGCTTCGTCATCCTGCTGGTTCCCTCACAAATGGATTGAATGAATCTTCGACTTTTCTTCTTTCATTGAGAGTAGATCTTAAAAGCTCTCATCACAAGAAAAAAAATTTGTAACTATATACGGTGATGGATGTTAACCAGAATTGTTGTGATGATCATTTTGCAAAATATACAAATATCAAATTATTATGTGTACACCTGAAACTAATATGTTTTTTGTCATTACCAATTTTTAAAAACCTATTAATGTAAGAAAACCCATTTAAAAACATAAAATAATCTTCCTAATGCAAATAAGGCACTAGATAATAGCATCTATGACAGGTTTTTTTTTTTAAAGGAAAACCTCGTAACAAATGGGAATGAAATTATGTCACTTTAGCATAAAGAAAGTACCCGGACTTAAGTCAGAGATGGTGGGATAGGTAGTCGCCACCCCCTCAGTGCCGGGGCTGTGGTTGCGTCAGCCTGTGCGGCAGCTCGGGCCTGATCCGGAGCGGGTGGGACCAGGCTAGGCCTGTGTGCACTGCCCAGGGTGGTACCCGGAGCTCCAGGTGCCTCCTTAACTTACAGGGATTAGCATTGTGTCAGATTTTAAACTTAGCTCCCCAGCGGCTCTGGCCACACTTCCCGTGCTCGGTGATGAGGTGCAGCGCACGCGGTGCCCGCAGAGCCCCCAGGAGTGAGAGCCCCGGCCCCCTTCAGAGGACAGCTGCCGCTCTGCATCGGCCCAGCCAGCTCCCTCTGTGTGGGGGTGCGAGCCTGTCTTTTATCAGGGAGTCTGCTTTTTCCAGAGAAAAAAGCCAGAATCAGCGTTTTTAAAATAAAATCAGTAGCTAGTAATCCAAAATTGTAGAGCCACAGTGGAGGCCAGTGCCGTGGGAAATCGTCAGATCATGTTGTCAGCCTGGATTCAGCCCCGCGGGCCTGGTTTTTGTGATCCCTGCCTCGTGGCACAGCCTTCCTCAGAAGTCAGGCAAGGAGCCCACCGCCCCCGCGCGTGGATGGCTGACTGTGTGGGGAAGGTGCCCCCCGTGCACCCGCACCTGTCAGCCTTCCCCCTGCTGTTCCGCAGCCCTGCCCCCGCCACACCCTTCTCAGATCTCCCCCAGGGGTGCCTCCGAGGCCACCCAGCAAGGCGCTGTCTAGCCCCGCACTGCGCAGAAGTTGTGTTCCCCCCATATGTGACTGTAAACGTGCTAGGAGCCCCATTTTTAAAAGCAAGATAACAGATGAAGGTTATTTTAAGAATATACTGTATTTAATCCAATATACCCAAAATATGATTTCAACATATAATCAGAATAAGAATTCTCAGAGTGATGCATTCTTTTTTCATGCTAAGTTTTCAAAATCGGTGTATTTTATACTTACGGCACATTCCAGAACTCACTTGCCACATGTCAGGTGCTCAGTAAACATAGATGGCCACTAGCTGCCACTAGCGGCACAGCCCGACCCTTCTCGCTTGTTTTCCTCGGGGCACTTAGCCGCTTTCTGGAACTGCGTTGTTTGTTTGCTTCCGTGTTGTCTGCCTCCCGCCCTGACTGTCAGCCCCCTGCAGCAGCGGCCCCCGCTCCCACGTCTGTGACAGTGCAGCAGAGAGTAGCCGCCGGGAGACCAGAGTGCGGCCGGCAAGCAAGGCGGATTAAGCCGCTTTGACATGTTACAGTCTTTGGTCTGTAATTCCACCTTTAGGAACTCTTCCAAGGGAAATACTAGCAATATAAAGATTTATCTGCTATTCAGTGAAACATAATTGAAAAATTTTAAATATTCTTCTTGTTCAACTATAGAATAATGATTAAATAATTATGTATTTAATTAAGCCTATTAATAATATATTATTTGACTATTAAAATAGTGCTTAAAGCATTTCAAATAGGTTATAAAATGGCTTGTATATTAGATAAAATGATGTAAATAGTTGAAAATGTGGATGTGTATGCATTGATAAAAACTAGAATTAATAGATAATAGGATAATAATAACAGGACAATAAATATGATATTGAACCCTTACCAGGCCTTAGGCTGAGAACTTTTATACATACTATTATTCCCTCTGCCTTGAAATGTTCTTTCTGTCAAAATCTGTGTGGCTCTCTTCCTCATTTCTTTCTGGTTTCCACTCAAATGTCACTTCTGCAGAGAGCCCTTTCCTGACCACTTGATAAAATACCATCTTTCCCATTGCCCCCCATTCTCTCTGCCCTGCATGGTTTTTCTCCAGTGCTTACCATTGCCCAACATGTTATGTATTTATTTGTCTACATGTTTCCCCGACTGGAATGTATGCTCCCAGGAGCCCCAAGGTTTTGGTTTTCTCACTGTCATATCTCAAGCTCCTCGAACAGTGCCTGGCACATAGTAGGTCCTCTATCAATCTGTACAGAATGAATGAGCAAATGGACTACAAGCTCAGGTGTTCAGAGATAATCTAATTTCTTTATTTCGTCTTTAAAAATCTGATGTTCTTCCCCTACTCTTCCCTACTTACTGGGGAGAAGAAGAAATTAGGAAGTATCAAAGTCAATTTAAATCAGATGAGTTTTATCTCATCTGATAAAGGCCCCTTGGGTATTCAGTCTCTCTAAAATAAAAATCCTCAGTCCCGGATTTTCCCTACTGCCTGCTTCTCAGCCCAAAATGGCACGTAGGTGGAAGTAGGGAGAGATGTGGCTTGTATATTAGGTAATCATTAAAGATATTTAAAATCTGTCTCTTCTTTTCCATTTAGGCATTTATTGCCAAAATGCAGATGGCGGCTGAAATTCTTCAACATCTAGTTCAGAGGTCTGAGGATTATTTGGAAAATATTGAGAACATAGTTCAACTTTATAAGGAAATGATTCTTCCTTCGTTAGAAGTAAGAGCAAGATACATTGCTGAAAATGAGAATTCTGATGTTTGCATTCTATCGCTGGTTAAATAGCTTTCACATTCTTTCCTCCCCATGTGTTATCTGTTGATTCTCCTTTTCCTGAGCTTGGAATGCCGTTAGGATGAGGCTTCCATCCCACAGGCTGTTTCAAGAGCAGTATTGTCTTACAAGGCAGTGCACTGCTGAAAAGGGATTAATGGGCTGCATTTTCTAGATCATTAGGGGAATTCATTTATGGATGGAGGTTGGAAAACCCATGCTAACAGACTGTTTTGTAAAAGCATTTTCAGCCCATAATTTATGGCTTTATCAAAACAAGCGTACATTTAAGGTGCATCTTTTATTCCAAAAGGAACTGTTAATTTACTTAAATCAAATCTGAAGAATGATTCCCGGATTGGTTTCTGTGGGCATCCCACTTCCACTCAGAGCTGCCTCCGTGTAAGCACGGCAAGGCTTACAGTGTATACTGTAACAGGAAAGTTTTAATCAAAATAAGTAGCATCGTAAAAATAAGATAACTAAAATTACAGTTATGTGGAAGGCGTATTTTATATGGTCAAAATTCCAGGGCAGACTGCCAAATTTGTGTCAGAGATTTATTCAGTAAGCATGTATGGAGTTGGATCTCTGGCCAGACAGCCTGCTAAGCAGAGGAAAACCCAGTCCTCAAGCTGCCTCTTTCCTCTGCCAGAGAAACTGAAAGAATTTCTTTTATGCTGTTTTAAACTGTATATTTATTTTTAAAGACAAATGAATGATCATTTTCATTCTCATTGTTCGCCCCCCAAAATGAGAACCGGATGTCATGGTTGTCTTGTGTATGACTTGCTCCTTTCCACCTCCTCGTCCATCCCCGGCCTTTAAACATAGCTTCTTAAAGAGTAATTCACATTCTTTCTTCCTTCAACGAAAATATCCTGCATTCTCCTGAAGTGGCTGGCATTCAGTATGAAACAGCATAATTAGAATCAGATTCAGAAAATTAGAGAACTGTTTTCATGGGGGTGGGGAGTGGGAAGCAGAGACAGCCTCTTCAAGAATAAGCACCAGGTCTTGTAGCCCAGCACCACCGAGGCCCAGAGCGGCGCCCACAGCCTGCCAGGTGGTAGACGCATCACAGATATTCTGCTGAACAAGTAATGACGTTACGAAGGCAAAGGAACGACAGGTTCAATTTCGTGACATGGAAACTTATGGAGATAAAATTTGAAAATAAAACCTCCCTCAAATAAAACGACAACAAAGCAGAAAAATGTCCACATCAAGTATGATATAAGATTTAAAGCTCTGATGTTTTAAAGCATCACAGAAATGATTTCTTCAGACCTACAGATTTACACCCACCTGAGGTAAATGGGCAACAAATATGAGCAGACAGTTTACAAAAATGAAAGGAAAAGAGTAACAAGTCTGTGGAAAAATGTTCTGCCTCACTGATAATAAAGAAATGCTGATCTAAATAATGAAATATTTCCATGATCAAATTTTAAAAGATGGACTAGCAAGTATGTCGTAAAGCAAGCGCTCACATACCCTGCTGACAGGAAGATAGTTAGTGTGGGCATTTTTTAATAGCTTGTCCACAAAAAAGTCAAAAGTGGGAAACTTCTGGGCCCTGAAGAAAAGCACAGATTAGGGCTGGTGGCCCTCGCACCAACAAGAGTTTCAAAGCCTCGATCCTAGACTTCAAGTCTAGGTAACACGTTCTAAATTGTAAAACACTTGCCTTACATGGTAATTCCAAGGTACCGGTGTGTGTCGAAGAAGGTGCTGGAGAGCCAGAGAAGGCAGGAGCCTGCAATCCCAGTCTCCTCTGGCCTGGCTGAGATGTCAGTTCACTTGGAGGCCAGCACCGCCAAAAGTCAGTGCACCGCCAAAGGAGGAAGGCAGGTGGAAGTGAACTAACCATCATTTTCTGGTTTGCGTTCTGCGTCAGGAGCAGTCCAAGCGGAAGTCCTCGCTCTCGCCTGTCCTCACATCCCAACCTGATTCCTGGTCTGATCTGGAGCATGTTTCTTTGACCTTAGGAGTGGCTTAGTAAATCCACTCTTAAGAATCTAGCTTAAGGAAAGAATCTGAGATACAGAAAAGCATCATGTCCGTCCGTGTTCAGAACATGGTTATTCAGGTCACATTAATAAAGCTGCACGATGTGCTGTCTAGAAGAAAAGAAACACTTAGAACCCAACTTCACGCAGTACTGCGAGAGACAAAACGCACTTGACAATCGAGGTGATTTTGTTCAGGCTGTTGCAATAGGGAGAACATCCACTGATGGGGACCTCTTCACAGTCATGGAAGGGGGCCTGGAGTTTTATGGAGGCAGGTAAGCAAGGGAGCCATCCTCACGTCTTATGGGGTTGTGAAGAAGGACAGAGACAGATCCTATCTGAGTCTTTGAGGAAGGGTGGAGATGAGCTTATCTCTTGACCATTGTTGCTTTTTGGGAACACATGACTCATAGAGTCCAACATTGCCAATGTACCAGAATAAAATCTGGTGGATTTTAGATATTAACATTAAAAACAAAAGGATATATAGTGGAAGAAAATTTAGAAGAATATTAATATAATCTTGAAGAAGAGAAAATTGAAGCAAAAGAAATCCAGAAATAGTGAAAACAGAGTTTATTATAAAAATGCTTCATATTGTAGAAGATACCATAAACAAAGTTAAAATATAAGTCATAGCCAGGTAAAATATTTGCAACCCACATGACACATAAAGGTTAAAGGCTTTCCATAAATGTTAGGGAAGAGAAACAGTCTAATAGAAAAATAGAGGTTATGGTCAGACAGTAGATGAAGAGGGACATCTGGGTGCTGCTTGTCATCTACCACAGGGGAATAAAAAGAAAAAACAATCCCATATTTCAACCACCAGTTTGGGAGAAATTATTCCATGGATGTACAGAGACAGATGCCCCAAAACATTGTCTATTGGGAAAAGTCTAAGACTTCAGTGGAGAAAAAAATGAAAAAAAAATAGAACACTGAAATTCATGGTAAGAAGTCTAGTTTAGGCTTTGCAAAAGAGCATGCATTTTATCACGTACAGAGCGAACAATCTAGCTCGAAAGACTTCTTCCTAGTATGTTACGATTCTGGTGTGTTCAGTTTCACCACAATCCTGGAGTATGAGGATTCTTTTCTGTTCTCTGCAGGAAGTGATGGCAGAACACAATTCCCAGTATCTCATTGAGCTGGATGGAAATAAGCCCCCAGAGGAGCTCTTCATGGTAAGTGCATGAAAGCTTGGAAAATGAGAACATTACTGCCTGGGCTATACAATGTTAATAAACGTCAGAAATGTATTTACATGTTTAACACCATTTATTTTTGAAAAAATATTTTTGACCCTTTAAAATTTTGATGTTAATTTTATTCAGCTGTCCATATTTAAATCAAAACTGCATTTGAATCAAAAATCTCTGACAAAAAGAAAGCAAAGTAAAAGCAAATCACAGCCAATAAGCTCACAGTAAGATGCTTCACACGAGCCATTAAGGAATGCAGACCAGAGCCATAAGGAGCTACCAGTTCACACCCACAAAGAAACAGACAGCAACAAGTGTTAACGAGGACACAGGAATAATGGAACGCTCCTGTGTCGGGTAGGATTGTAGAATGATGCAGTGACTTTGGAAAATGGTGGCAGTTAAGTTAAACATAGAATCACCAACACGACTCAGCAAGTCCTAGGTATGTACCCAGAAGAACTGAAAACAGATGCTTAAACAAAAATGTGTACATGAATGTTCATAGCACTATTCACATAGCCACAAGATAGAAATAACTGAATGTCTGTGTACTGATGAATGAACAAACAAAATATAGTGCACCCACGCAATGGAATATTGTTCAGCAATAAAACAGAGTGAAGTGCTGACACACGGATCAGTCGTGAACACACTAAGTGAAAGGAAAGTCACAAAAAAATCACATATGATTCCATTTTTATGAAACGTCCAAAACAGGCAAATCCAGAGACAGAAAACAGATTAGCGGTTGCTTGGGGAAGGGAGAGGGGCTCCCACGGCGGGAGGTCTCGGGGTAAGTGTGGAGTGACTGGTGTGTGGAGGGTTCCTCCGCGGGCTGGTGAGAATGTGCTGAGATGAATGGTGGTGGCCGTGCAGCTCCGAGCCTGTGAACAGCCGCTGAAACTGCACTCAGTGAGTCACACGGCATGTGAATTACATCTCATAAAAGTTTATAAAAAAGAATATATATGTATTTGGAAATACAGTGTTTTCACTATTTTTTTAAAAATGATGAGAAATAGTTTCTACATATAAATAAATGTTGAATAATTTTTATTACTTAAATATGAAGGAAAAACTTCTGATATTTCAATAGGAAAAAGGCAAATGCCTAAATAGAAAAAACAGGCAAAGGTCATGAACAGGTAATTTAGAAAGAAGTGCCCAACAAATATATTTTTTAAAGTTCTCTAATTAAATACTGAAAGAAATGAAAACTTAAAGAATGAGGCAGCATTTTCTTTGCAGATTTAACAAATTTATCCTATACCCAGGATTGTGGGGAAGGTTTGTGCTCTTAGACCCTTTCAGTAGGAGCATGCACTATTACAAACTTCCTGGGAAATAATAGGGCATACATGTGTCCAGAATTTTTTTTAAGTGCTTATATAGTCTGTCCAAAGAGCCCCAACTTCTAATAATTTATTCTAATGAAATAAATGGAGATACAGAGAAAGATTTTTGTTCAAATCTTTCTGATTATAATCAGAAAAAAAAGCAATTGATGTCTTCCAAAATAGGTATCTTGGAAAGCTGATTCTTAAATGTGTGAATTTTAAAAATTAATGTATGACTTTTGGCTAAAACACAATAGTAATTCTTCTGTTCATATTAACAACAATGAGTGCATCATTTCAGCATATTTCATGCGATCACTTAAAATGTAAGGAAGAGAAGGTATGGTTTTTTTTTTTTCCAAAATGAAGATATCTTCATTCTTTTTTAAAAAATTATTATTAAGGTAAAATTGACATGTAACAATGAATGATACCTATGAATGTGGCCTTCACTGGAAGCAGGGTCCATTCGGATGTACTCAGGGTAAGGGGAAGTCGTACCGAATGCGGGTGGGCCCTTACCCCATCTGGCTGGTATCTTTGTAAGAGAAAAAACTCGGGCCCACGGGGGAGGGTGGCTGTGTGACCTCAAGAGCAGATGCTGGAGTGATAAGCCCCGGACCGGAGAGTCCCCGCAAAACACTAGAAGCCCGGAAGACGCAAAGACACCTTATACCGCCGAGCACATCACTTCTGCAGAATGTTTGAATGTTCAAATGCCAATGTATTTAAAGATTCATTCTTTAAATTTAGACAGTTATGGATCGACTTAAATATCTGAACCTAAAAAGAGCAGCTGTTTTAACTAAACTTCAGAGTGCAGAAGAAGAAATTAATGACACAATGGAAAATGTAAGTTACTTTCAATTGTTTGAAAATCTACCTTTTCACTATGTGTTGTGACCTTAATTTGTATCCTTTAAAAGTTTAAGAAGAGTTCCAGGATACCATTTATAAAATGGATTTGATTTCTGGGAAAAAGCTATAATTATTAACACAATATTCTTGTAGGCACTGAACATGACAAAAGTTTGAAACAAAGAAAATAAAATTAGAACAATCAACCACAGGCACGATGAGAGAGAAAGAAGCCCAGGTTCCAATTTTGCATCACCAAAGAGCAAAGACATGCCAGTCCTCAACACTATAAACACTCATCCACTGCAGTCACTCACACAGTATTTTTGAATAACCACTGTGTTCCTGGCACTGATGTATTAGGGATGTGATGGTGACCAAATTATAACTGCTAAATGCTAAAAGGGCCATAAGGACTTTAATTGGAGGATTTGATCTGGGAAGTTTATTTTCCAGCTGTATGAATAGAGATTACAAAATAAGTGCCAGAACGGTAGAGGCGATTCAAATAAAAACCCTGGAGGAAGAGGTCACTTTGTCATTCTGTGCTGCATGTGATCCTGGACCTCAGTGGATGAGCACAGCTGGAAACATGTCCTAGGTGCTCAGTGACGCGCACTGGCGCTGAAGAGGAGGAAGAATGGGCCGCTCGGCACCAAGCCTCTTCTAGGTTGTCGTTGAAGGAATTTTTATTAGGTGTTTGTAAAACCTGGGGGAATGTCCCAGGTAAAGATTTCATCCTAGAAATGATTGTATGCATAGGCCTCAGGTTATGGTTCATGAGATATATGACAGGGATGGCCATCTGTGCAGCTGCGCAGGACCCTGGCTTTAGAAGGGCCCCACTGTTAGTTCAATGCCAAGCTATCAGTCTTGAAATTCTTAATAACTTCAGAACAAATTCCCTGTGTCTTCATTTTATACTGGGCCCGGCAAGTTAGCTGATGACGTGAGGATGCGTCACCCAGTCACAATAGAGCTGGGCAGAGCCGGACAGCCTCCGCTGGGCCAGACATTAACTGTGTAGTTGCTGGATCCGGGGAGGGTCCAGGGGTCCTTTAGCGAGAGGCTCAGACTAGAGGGGCCTTGGAGTGCAGAGGCCATAGGGGCCAGCCTTCTGTGTCTGCTCCTGGCCGTGGCTGCATCTGGGTTCCCTCTCGCAAGGGCCTCTGACTCAGTCTCAACAGCAGCCAGTCTGCTGGCTGAAGGGGAGGTGGGGGGCTGAGGGAAGGAGCAGTTGGCTGCCCCAGTGAAACAGGAAGTGGCGGTGGCCCCTTGCGCCTCCTGAAGATCTTCAGCCCACCTTCCTGTCTCCTGCTCTCTATGCAGCCCCTTCGGAGGGGCCTGGGGTCAGCACGACCTGACCCTCTCTAGGATTTTTGCAGTGAGTCAAGTTGCTTTTTGTTGCCAGTCCATCCCATACCCATCCCTGCCACACAGACCCCAAGCCTTCCCTTCTGTCTGCCCTGCGTCAGTTACAGTGTGTCCGTCTGCTTTTGTGCTTGCAAAAATGTATGGGCATGGCTGGCCAGCTGCTGGGGCCTCCTCTTCTCCCATTCTCCGTGTCTGCATCAGTTCACCCCTCTTTTCATTCTTCTGCAGTCGTTTTCATGGGGGTTTGCCAAGTGGCAAACACAAATGAATGTGTTCAGCGGCCTTGTCTAGACTGTGGTGGTCCTGATCCTTTTTAGGCAGGAATATCACACTCATTTGAAAGCTCATTTCTCATCGCCCACAGCACCTGCTAGACATGTGACCCCAGGGACTTGAGAGGAGAGCATGGCCTTTTCCCAAGTTTGGACAGGAAATAAGGCTGATAAGGGGCGAGCACCCGCCTCCTGGCTTAACCAGGTGCATTTCAGTCCCTAGCTCTTGGTGGATCCATGGAGAAGGTCGCTAGCCCAGCGTACATCTCCCCGAGGCTCCCAGCCCCTGCCCCTGCCCAGAGCCTTGGCAGCTTCCTTAAGGTGTAGCTGCTCCCAGCCGCTGGCTGGAGACCTTTGGCCACCCCAGCATCGCGCGTGCCTCTTGGCTCTGCTGCTGCCGCCCAGGAAGACCACAGCTCCCACTCTCGTCTCTCTTCCTCCACCAGCTCTGCAGCCAGCATGTCCCTGTGAGACCCACAGCTAGAGGTTGGGGGCAGCCCACCTGGACGCTGTGCCCCTGGCAGATATCCCCACGTCCTCCCTGCCAAGGGGGTTCTCTCCCCCCTCTGGGGCAGCACAAGGACAGCGAGCCTCTCAGCAACCCGCAGCCTGACTTCTCTGGGGGCCACCGACAGGATCACAGGGGGAGACGCTCCATTTAAGAGGAGCGAAGGAGCTAAGGAAATGCAAAAGTCAATCTGTATACAACATCTTACCATTTAAAAAAAACGAGTAAATCGACTAAGAATCTGGTACATTTCAAACCTTTTCAATAGTAATTTTTCAGAACTTTTCTGCAAGAGATGGTAGGAAATGCTCTGTCAACCTTATGCGCATCCTTCCTTAGAGTGGAAAGTGCTCGGTAAAATTTAACAAGGTCTTAAAACAGAAATAAAAGTATTTTATTAAATTTTGGACAAGTGCAGAATGATTGCAGTTAAGTGACAAGTCAAAATTTGCTTTCTAAGTCATTTCTTCAGGTAAAGCACTATCAGAAAGAAATGAAATACTGAACACCATCAATTTCAGAGACTTATGCCCACATTTTTACTGCAGTGCTTGTTATATTAATAGGATGAGCTGTTCCGTAGGCTGGCATCTTACAAACTTATTGCGCCAAGATATAGATGGCGGAGAAGCAGATGGGGACGCACATGTCCTGTGACTTTAAAAGAAGGTAATCTTCATCCAGGATTACCAGATTTTTCTGTGAGGTAAGTAATTCTCAGAGTTTCATTTTAAAGTTTGCCCATACCTCTTTTCAGTTGCTTATGACTGTGGCATATTTTAAGTTTTCTAGGTAAAATATACTGTCTTTCATCAGAAGAAGCATTAAAAACATTTTTATTGAACCCACGTCCCTACCTTCTTCCACCGATGCCAGCACCACCATTCAAAGTATTCATATTTGGGCCTCAGTCTTCAGGGAAAACAACACTTAGCGGTCTGCTTGCCGAAAATTACGGAGGAAAGGTAACTCCTAACCTACTAGCTATCTTTCTGCCTGTTTACACTTGATTATAATTGGTAGGGTTTAGGCCTCAGAGGATTTGTACTCAGTTTTCTTAATTTTCCGTGTCAGCTGGGTAATTGTTCCCCGGGGGTGCAGGGGGGAGGGCAGCCTCCACGCTCTTTCCTGCAGCTGCCAGCCCCGAGCCCCTCGCTGCCTCCCGAAGGCCACCCGATTTGCCTGATAAGTCACACAGGCCGTGACACCCATGCCCTTTTGCACTCGTCTCATCCCCTGATTCCACGCCCCCTGGATCACAGCCGTGCCCCCCACACGCTCACTACTGTCGTGATTCCGGGAGACGCCGTTATCTGCGAGCCCGGCCCTTCCAGCTCCCTGGCCGGTCAGCTCGGGGACCTCCTCCACCGGTCCTGTCCTCCACCTCAGTAGGTGCGGTTCTTTCCAGCCTGTCAGGAGAGGTGGCAAGGAGTGGGGACTCAGGCTGGGGCTTGAAGGCCGAGCCAAAGGACTTGACCGGGGACCGGAGCGTGGGGGGATCAGAGGAAGAACGTGTGGCCAGGGCCTCGGGTATGGAGGGAGGACGGGCACAGATGGGACGCTGAAGGCCAGGCAGGGGCAGCACAGGCCCTGGCAGAGGCTTGGGCTCACTCCAAGTGCTCTTGACTTACACACAGGGACAGCACTTTCTGTTTGCTTTTGACTTTGTTATTGTAAAACATGACAAACATACAGAAAAGTGAAGTTTATGGAATCATCGCAGAACAGCCCCCCATCTAACCACCACCCAGCGCAAATATGAGCTGTTGCCAGCGCCCCAGAAGCAACGTTATGCCTCTTCCCACTACACGTCCTCGTATTCTGTCCACAAGTAACCGGGGCCCTGAACTTGGGTACCCACTCTGCACTTGGGTTCATGGTTTACTGTAGAAGTGCGCATGCCAACACCATAGGCGGTTTGCCTGTTTTCTTTAGCATGTGGATCTAAGCAGTTCATGTTTGCTGTGCCTGGCTTCTCCCACTCAGCATAGGATTGTGATACTTATACGTGTCATTACACAGGCTATTGCATATGGCTACACTTAACTCATCTTATTGTTTTATTGTATTCTACTGATTGAATTATACTATAATTTATCTGCCCATTTGATAATAATAAAGTGATAATGAAACTTAGGTTAATTCCACTTTAGCGTATGATGAGTATAATACTGATGTAATTATTCAACATGTCTCATGTCTCTTAGTGCACATATAGTATCTTTATGTATTTTGGAGACATATCTAGGAATAAAATTTCCAGGATATAGGGTATGCATATATTCAACTTGTGTAGATAATGCCAAGCTGTTTTCCAGACTAGCTCTGCCGCCTTACAGTCCCATCAGCAGTGTGCGTCCTGTTATCCCACATCCCTGCCAGCCTTTGTCACGGTCAGCTTTTCTTACTTTAGCCATTCTCGCAGATGTATCTCACTGTGGTTTTAATTTGCATTTCCCTGATGACTAATGAGGTTGAACATTTTTCCTCTGTTTATTGGCCATTCAGATAATTCACTTTTTGAAGTGTTTGTTCAAATCTCTTGCCCGTTTAAAATTTTTTTGTGTAGTATCGGTAGGAGTTCCTTATTTTGTCTATCTACAAGTCCTTTTTTGATTATAAGCATTATGAACATTTGTGGCTTGCCATTTCACTTTTTTAATGAAAAATGCACCATACTCGATTCATTTAAAGCAAGTCACTAAATACTGCCAAACTGAAGAGGAGGCGAAGTAGGTTCCCCCTTCTGAAGGGAGGAGTGAAAGGTTTGCGGACGTGTTCTAAAGCCATCACAATCTGTGTCAGACAAAGAACTTATTTACAAATCAGTATGCAGATAAAGCCCCAATGGGAGAAAATAGCAAACAGGTAATTCACAAAATAATAGATAAAATAGCTGTTAAACATGAGAAAAGAGATATCACCTCCCTGATACCAGAGAGATGCCAGAAACCAGAGATTTATCATGTCCGTTTCAACGTTAGAGTTGGAGATCACACTATTAGCACCCAGAGCTGGTGTGTAGCTAGGATGGAGGAACATACATTCTCACGCATGGCTGGTGAGAGTATGACCACTAGGGACGGCAAGTGGGAATATGTATAAAAGCCTAAAACCTATGCATGTCCTTTGAACTGTCAATTTTATTTTATAAACTTTTCCTAAAGAAACTATCAAAGATACCTACATATATGTGTTCATTGTAGCCTAGTTTGTAACAGCAAAACATGTATACCTGAATATATATTATTGGTATTTTAGTTAAATAAGTTATAATATATTCCTCTACCACAATACTGTGCATCCATTAAGAAATGATGGTATAGACATATACTTATTCACAGGGAATGAAATAATATAAGCATACTGAAGGAAAAGCAAAATGGAATGTAAAGGTATAGAAATATTATTTAAATTTAAAAGGCATACAGAAATCTATTTCTAACATCCCAATACTCAGTATGAAGTATGTTATCTACCTGAGAAAGGGCTTACATTCATAATATATATAGAATTCGAATCTAGTTGCTAAAATGTGCAAAAGGTGAACATACGCTTAAAAACAGAAGATAAGTGAATGACCAATAAGCACACAAAAAGAAGCTCAAAACCATTAGTGATTAGCGCAATGTAAATGTAAACTGCAATGAGATACTTCCGCACACCCACTAGAATGGCTACAATTTAAGATTAGCAAAACCACGTGTTGGTAAGAATGTGGAGCACCTACAGCTTCCATACACTGCTGGTAGGAATGTGAAATAGTCCAGCCGCTTTGGAAGCAGTTCATGGTTTATTATAAAGTCAGCTATACACTCAGCATATGATCCAGTAGTTCCACGCCTGCATGTTTATCCAGGAGAAATGAAAGGATAGGTCTACACAAAGACGTCCTCACAAATGTTCATTGCTACTTGATACCAGCCCGTTACTGGGAACAACCCGAACTGGCCATCAGTCCATGAATGGATAACAACTGTGGGGTGTTCATTCATACAATGATACTATTCAACAATAAAAAGGAACAGATTACTGATGTGTACAATTACACTGATGAATTTTGAAGACATTATATAAGGGGGAAAAAGCTTGGAAAAGGTTGTTTCCATCTATATATTCTAGAAAAGGCAAAACCAATCCATAGTGACAGAAACAGAAAGTGGTTTCCAGGGGCCAGGAACTGACTGTAAAGAAGCATGAAGGGAACTTTCAAGGCAATGTAAATGTTTTATATTTTCACTGTGGTTGTTTGTTGAGGTATATATTTGTAAAAAACTCATCAAACTATACTTAAAATGGGCACCTTTTATTGTATGTACATTGTACACCCAGAGTTGTACTGTGTGTACATCACACTATGCATTATGTGATGCATGTATAAATATATAATCCTACATGAAAAATATGGCTGAATTTCTATGACAGCAAGTACTTAAAAATCAGCGAATTCTGAAAGTGACATGCCTCCAGTGGCAGTAGGATTTCTGAGATGGGCAGGTACAGAGAGAGAACCAGCCCAACGAACCATGTGTCCATCTGCAGTGACTGCATATGTGGTCCCCTCGGCCACTCTTTGCAGGTTGTTGACTACGTCAAAGCTGTTCAGCCACGTTTTGATAAAGCCCTTGAAAGCCTGGTGAGAAATACTATAGCTGAGGCCACGGAGGCAGCTATTACGGCTGTGAAAGAGCAGCTGCTCACACAACTGCAAGCTAAGAGACAAGGTGAGCCATCTTTTCAGTGTGTTTCAGACATAGGTCGGCCACTCAGCCTGCTCCCTGTGGGCAGTGGTCTTGATGACCCAGCCGCCTGCCCACCGGAGCCTCTTACTAATGCGTGGCTGAACAAGTGAGTATATATAAACCTAATTCATAGACAGAAAGATTGCAATTCTAGACTTACAAGGAAGAGAATCAGAAAGAGCTTCCAAATTTGGGTTTCTGTATTTTTATGGGTCTGCTTGCCAGGCAGAGATTGTTTGGGCAGAATTTACACCTTTCTCTCCACCAGTTGCGTCAACTACCTTCCCCCTGGTTCCCGGGGAGCTGGCAGTGCGGCTGCGGCTGCTGCTGCCGTTGGAGGCTCGTACGTCAGCCCTGACTGTACTTAAGTCTTACCCCCGGGAATACTAACTTCCAGTTCAGGAAGTCACATAGTGGAGAAACAGGAAGAAGCCTTAGTGATCAGTTAGCACAACTCTATAATGTCACGGATGGCACTGAGGCAGTTCCTGAAACTCACCAGCTGGCAGCAAAGCTGAGACTTGAACCCTCGTGCCCGAAGCCCCCAGTGCCCTTCTCCAGACCATCTGGTCTCCCTCTGGAGCTCACTCCTTATTTTAGAATACACACAAGGGTGTTTTTCTGTTTTTCTCATTTCACGGTGACTTTTGGAACTCGATCTGTTTTGGTAGAATTTATAGGTGTGACTGGCATCTTATAAGTAGTCGCCTTGGAGCACACGCGGGTAGCCTCACCCAAACGTCGCGTAGTCGAACGCCCTCCGCACAGCACATCTTCTGCTCTGCCTGGGATCTCTCCCCCTTCCAAAGGTTGGGATCCATAATTTGAGATCAGCTCCATCAGTGTCAGACTAGATTCAGCTGCCACCGTTTGGATTTCCCAGAAGCCATGGCAGTATTCTCTCCTCTAACAAGTCATCGCTGCCTCAATTCCAAATAGTATTTTCCTACTGAAGTTTCACAGTACAAAAGTCATAGCCACTATTTACTGAGCATTTACTATACATGGAGGCTATGCTAAACGCACTGCATGTATTATCCTATTTATCCTCATAACAGGTGTGTGAGGTGGGCATTTTATCTCTGTTTTTGATGGATGAAGAAAGACACCAAGGCTCAAGGGGCTCCATACCTTACCCACGGTCGACAGCCAGCAAGTGATTGGGATTCAAATCAGTGTTTGCACTCTACCCTCTGTGTCTCTCAAGGGCTCACAGAAAAGGGGAAAAAGCAGATGGAAGCAAAATTCACTTATCCTTATTCCCCAGAGATACCCGCTACCCACTGTTAAAAATTTGATGTGCTCTCCACACCTCACCTTTTCCTACTCATATTTGTAATGATTAATTGTGATTAGGTCCACCATGGCAGTGATAGTGGACCTTTTAAAATGTGTTCTTGCCAGTGTTTCTCTGTAAGATTATTAAGTATTTCTGTCTGGAATGGATGTTGAACATTATCAAATGCCTTCTGGGCATCTATCAAGATGATCATAGAGTTTTTAATCCTACCCCATTGATTTGATCAGTTATACTAATATATTTTCCAACAGTAAACTATTTGTGTAGTCAGAAACAAACCTTACCTGGTCTGGTATATTATTCTTATAACATTTTTTTCTTTTGCTGGTTCACCTAGGATTTTTCCCCCACTTGCATGTCCAATCGGTTTATAGTTTTCCTTGTGCTCTATTTGTCTGATTTTGCTTTCAGGGTTTCACTAACTTTCTACATAAATTTGAAAACTTCCCATCATTTTCTACGTTTGAAAGTATTTAAATCTCAAGGAAATTATCTGCCTACATGGCGTTGTTGAGCTTTACTAGGCAAGAGCCCATTATTTGCCTAACATATCTGCCGCTCTTCATCCCCGTTAGCCTATAAACAAATAGAATAGCGATTTTAGGAAACAACCAGAAGACCAGCATTGACAATAAATGCCATCCCAGGCATCATCCAGATGGTCTAGAATGAGTTTCTGTTTTCAGTATATTATCTTCAAGATGAAAACCAAAGTCTAAAAAAATAGTTATGGACAGCTCACCAGCTAAAGCTTAAGAAGCGCTGACCCAGACTACTTCAGGCTGCACAAAATGAACTCGCTGATAGATTCAGCAGGGACCTGAGTGCCCGCTCTGTGGCAGCCGTGATTCCAGGCCCTGGGCTGCAGAGGCGGGCAAGGCGCACGAAGCTCCTGTCCTCCTGGTGGTCACATTTTAATGGAGGGAAGGGGGGCAGAAAACCCCAAGTGAACAGATAGAGAAAATATCACACAGTCCTGGGGCAGGAGGTGATTGGGGCAGGGGCGCTGGGGTGTTGGTGACCAGGGAAGACCTCGGACACTGACCTGAGGCTGGATTAGGAGAGGAAGCTGGGCTTGTGGGGGAAGAAGGGTGATTGGTAATGTTTCTTGGAGTCTGGTGATTCCTTTCACACTGGATTATGGCTGAAATTTCTGGAGCTCTCCACAGATTGCCTTCTGCCACCAGAATATGGAAGTAGGTGCTCTTGCATAGGCTACAGACTTCAAGACATCTTTCTTTTCTTTTTCAAGTTCACCAATTATTCTAAATCTGACAGTAGGGTTAACCCTTCTCTGAAAATTTTTAAAATTTGGGATGTGTTTGCTAATACATTTTTCTCCAGTATGTTTTTTAGAAAAATTTGTCAGTGGAAAATACTGGAGCTTTTTAAGAGAATTTTTGAGAAATTACATAATAACACAGAGGATGGCGGCTAACGTGGAGTAGGCTTCCCGTGTGCCAGGCGTTCTCTAAGTTCATTCCGTCCATTACCCCGGCCAGCCCTTGCAGCAGGGCTGCTGGTCTGAGGGTCCTCACTCTGCCCAGGAAATAGAGGCTAGGACAGCACGTGATTCAGGAGGCGACGCCCAGGGGGTCAGAGCCCACGCGCACGTCTGTCCGGCCTCGCGGTAGAGGACATAATTGCCAGGCCGGTCTTCCCACCCCTGCACCTTTGTTAACGGAGTCGGTCGCTCTCTTCCAGCCGAGTCAGCTTCCAGGGAGTCAGGTAAGGAATCTGACGAGTTCCCCAGTGATGCGCGGAGAAGCTTGGAGGACCTCCCCGCGCCCGCCGAAGGAGGTAGGGGCCGTATCACTGCTGTCGCTGGCCCGGCTTCCCAGCACAGGCAGGCCCACCGAGAAGGCATATCGCTCTTCCACTGCAGGGTTCTCTCGTGAGTCCCAAAGAGGAGGCTCTTCCCTGGACGGCGGAGAAACCCAGACGAAGTCAGGAAACGCCCTCAGTGATGAAGCGGCCAAAACGGATGACGGTAGGCACATGAACACCCAACGCCATGCCTACGGCTCTTGCCTCCACTGACTTTATGTTTTATCATGTTTACATTAGCTTAAAAGCTCAAAATTACCCCCAGCACTGGAAACTTCAAGAGGAAAAAAGTTAGCTTTTCTCTTACAGATTTAAACCAACAGTTATAGACCAGAAATAGATTTACTACAATGAAAAAGAAAATGTAGAAACCACGGAGTCTAATGTGATTAGAATCTCCCACCAATTTTTTTGACTATTTCCAAATGTGACACAGTCATCATATCGTAATAAGTTATTTTTTTAAAAGCTCTCTACTTTCTGCAATGTATTGGAATAAAAACATCAACCCAGAGTTTTAGCTGTGAAATGTTAAAATTGAGTGTATCTACCTTATAAAATCTTTCCATTCACATTGGAACATAATTGAGAGCATACAGTGTAAGCTGTTTTTTACCTTTTTCTATTTATGACATAACATTTGGAATATATTACTTCATTAGAAATATTTTAAACCTAATTTAAAAATACTGTACATTTTCCCTCTTCATAGTTAAGAGTTTTAACTAGTTCTTTATGTTGGAAACAAATTACTTTTCTTTTTTTTTTTTGCTATTACAAATAATGCTTCAATGATTTTTTTAAATAAAGATTTGTCTGCAGTTGCTCATGTAACAAGTCTGAAGCTGCAGTCAAACTGCTTTGCAGGGAAGTAGTTTCACATCATGTTCCCTCAGTGACGTACAAAGCATGTGTCATTGTGGCCTTAGTATTTTCTCTCTTGAAGTATTATTTTAGTTTTTGTTTGACTCTTTCTGAAGTTTAATATTTTAATGTTAACTGTTTCTATTCTTCCCTGAGGTGACCGCTTTTCTCTTTTGTCCATTTTTCTAATTTATATCAGTTATATGGTTTCTAGATAAACTTTCTATATTAGTCGCTTATTTTTCATATTTTTTTCCAAATTGGGTGGTTTGTCTTTTAAATCACCTTGCTGTTTTCGAAGTAATCTTTCATGTTTTCATAGTCAAATCATTACTTTCCATTTGTTAATTTCTTCCATTTACTTTCAGCCTTAAAAAGTCTTCCTCTCAACCCAAGGTTTATGTTTACATTCCTTTTTTTTTTTAATCAGTGCAACCTTTTCGTAGTTAGTTTTTAAATGCTTCATATTGTGTGATTTATTGTGTCATATAATGGACAGCTGATTATGCTTGGTTTCTCCTGATTCCGACGGATGCTTATTTCAAGGCTTGTGGGAAATGAACCGAGTATGGCTAAACTTGTGCGTGGCCCTCCTCGCCCAGCACACACACAGGCACAGAAACACCCCAGAAGAGCCCCAGCCATCATATCAGTGTGCCTAGCAGGAAAAGGGAAAAGGGAAGGGACAAAAACCGGCACTCCACCCAGTTGAGGTTTTCCTCTTTAAAGGGGTGACAGGAAGACTCACGAGAACTACTTGCGTCTTACCTACCAGCCACCCAAGCTGTAAGGGCAGTTGGGAGATGTGCTGATGGTAGCTGGGCACTGCGCTGAGCCCTACACAGTCAGGGTTCTGTTCCTCAGGAGGAGGAGAATGAATGTTGGTGCACACCGGCAGTTTCCAGAGCAGTCGGCATCTTTGCCTGGCTCCTTCTGCCTCGTCGCGCCCCCCTTCCCTAAGCCAGGGGAAAGCATGGGTCCTTGCCTCCTCCACTCCGGCTCTCCAGGAACTGCCGTCTCCGTCCGTCCCTTAGAACGGACTTCTCACCTCCTGGCAGGGAGGGCAGCAGGCAGTTGGTCCTCGAAGGCCCTTTGGGGTTTTCTGGCCCGGAGCAGTTGGGGTCTGGCAAGGAGCCTGACGGGTGGAGCCTTGGGGCGGCCTGCATGGCTGGAAAGGCAGAAGTGGGGGAGCCGGGCGGGCGGTCAGTGTCCTGCTGCTCTAGGGGAGCGGGCGAGCACTGACCGCATGGTCAGCCGCGTAAGGAGGCACACAGTGGGGCAAGAAGTGAGAAAGCATCCTGTGCCACCCTCTCTTCCATCCCTGCCAACTTGCTGCCCACCTGGCCTCTCACTGCCCCCTGAGGCCTCATGCGCATGATCGGAAGTGTCCATCTGGTTTTCTGACTCTCCCCTCGGTGCCACGGCTTAGCTCAACCCCAGGAATCCTGGGCCCATGCCTATTCCCCCGGCTTCTGGGTTCTAACTCCTGGACAGAACTTTCTTCTCGACTCGTTCACTTTCATTCCCAGGCACTGGCGTCAGCCCCTGCTCTCATGTTCTGTGACTCCTGACCTCACATTCCGCCCTCGTGTTTCTCCCGTCCTGTTGCATGTACTGGGTTTGGGTATCAACAGTCGCGTTCTGCTGCAGTTGGCTTTGTCCACTAAGATCAATAATGCATTTTTTAACTTACTTTACTTTAGACTCAATTGAAGACACGATAGAAGAGGTGACTGCAGGTCACCCACAGGTCCTTTCCATGATAGAGGAGACTGTAAAAATGACAAAGGATATGAGTTTTGAAAACCCATATGAAAAACATGCTGAAATCTTAGAGGAAGTTCTCCAAGAGGTAAGAAATCCAGGCTGTTGGTGTTTATCACTGATTTAACAGTGACTGAGAAAATGTTAACTTAGTGTAGCTATTTTAGAGTCTCATGTAACAGCATCAAAATCCGTAATTTTTTTTTCAAATTCATATACATTTTATAGTTAATGTTGTTCTGTGTAATGCACTCCAGTGAACAGTTGCTTATGTTCTCCAGTAAACTTTCCTTTATCAACAATTATGCAGTATAATTTTATAGCTTTAAAGTTAATTCCGTTCATTGGTGAAGAGACGGTATATATGAAACCAGCACAAATGGTAGATATTTCAACTCTGAGCTGATTAGTTGTAAACCAAGACAAATTTCGCTCCCTAGCTAATTAATTTCATCATCCAATCTAAGGGGCAAGTAACACCTCAGAGGCTGTGTCCCACCTGTGCAAGTCGAAAGGCTTTTCTTTCATTTATAAACACAATATCCACACAGGCCTGTCTTGTAGACCTTGAGTAAGCATTCAGAGCAGAAGTGTAAGACCACAAATCAGTTTGGGGCTCCTAGTGAATTTCTTCTGTATTTTGAAAACTGTGTAATTTTAAATTATCAGGTAAGAAGAAAAATATTTTGCGAGAGTACAGAACCACTCTGTAATGCACCAGCTGGGCACCTCGAGCCCCAGGCTGTACCCAGAACGAGTTGCCATTTCTTTCTGAGCTTCCCAGGGAGATCTTTCAACATCTTCTGCATCCCCAGGTTTTCCTGTCATCAGTTCATTCCTCCAGGATCACTCTGAGCACCTACCGCTTACCCTGTACTGCGCTGGATCCTACAGACATGAAGGTGAATTAGCCACAGCTCCGTCCTTTAAGGAGCTGGCAGTCCAGTGGGGAAGGCTGACGTATGACCCAGGAATTGAGTTACCATGTGCTAAGCGATGGGACATGTGTGCAAGAGGCAGGAATTCCATGGAGGTCAGGGCTACCGTCTCTGCCTGGGAGGTGAGACATGCAGGTGAGGGTGTCTTCAGCACTCTGAAGTCCCGTCCTCACCCTTCCCTGAAAATTTCTTCAATTCTCTTCAGAGTATATTCCGGAGGCTGAAAATCTGCAGGGAGTCCTCCTGGGCCTTCTGATAGAGGAATACGTGCCGTGTCTTCTGGTGGCAAACGGCAGCTCAGGGGTTTTGGCATCAAAGCTCCTATCAGATCGTCTCTGTGTGGAACCTGTCATCCGTCCTGTGATCTCTGTGATACAAAAGCTATTTGTGAAATGTAGCTAGATTTGAATCTAAAACTGCTCCAAAAAACAAGGGCCTTTTAAAACAAAGAAGTAGCTGAAGAGATACGCTGCTTTATGAAGTCTTTTGCTCATTTTTTCAGATAGTCCGTCTTTTTTTTCACATGTGGATCCTTCTGCAGTGAGTCCTCTGTTGGATATATTGCAATTATCTATAATTATCTTCTATTTTGAATAATAAGAGTTAATTTACTAAAGTGCAATTTACCAACTTCTTCATTTACAATGAGTGCTTTTATGACCCAAGGTCAGAAAGATATTCCTCCAGGTTTCCTCTGGAAACTCTGTTTTGCCTCTTATGTTAGATCGAAGGTCCATTAAGAATTAATTTTTGTGTATTCAGAAAAATATCCAAATGGCCAATAAGCATATGAAACAGTATTCAGCATCATTAATCACCAGAAAAATACAAATTAACATCACAACCCAACAGGAAAGGAAAAAATATTTAATAATGTTGGTAAAATTATCTATTGGACAAAATACAATTCAAAATCTCATATCAAAATAGAAGTATATTCCATGTAAATTAAATAGTTAAATAGCTAAATGTAAAAATGGCACTTTTTTTTAACTAGATGGCAGCATCGTGTCACTGGAATGACCCTCCTGCTGGTCAAGGACTCTGGGCACAGATGAACTCGGGAAGCAAAACCTCAGTAGAGAGACTAGTTAATAATGAGTTCTTCCCAATGAAAAAAATCTCAAAAATCAAAATTTCAAGACAAAGGCCAAACTGGGAAAGTATTTATAATAAATATGATATGTTAATTGCTTAATATAAAGATTTCTTACAAATCAAGGAAAGTCTAATACTGCAATATAAAGCAGGCTAAAGATGAAAACAGATTATTTCATCAAAGAGGAAATGAAAATAGTTAATTGAAAAAATTTAAATTCAAATTGCAACAAAAGTATGAAAACTAAAACGAGATACAAGTTCTCACCTGTCAAATCGGCAAAGATTCTGAAAACATCTCACGATCCGTACTAGTGAGGCCGTCACCACAGGCACACAGAAGTGGAAACGATGCAGATATTTGGAAGCGACGCGACGGTGTGCCTGAGAAGCCCCACAATGGGCATCGCCTCGTTCCCTTTGACCTATAAACACACCTGCTAGGAATCCAGCCTAAGGACATACATGACATTTGGATAAACATTTATATTTAAAAATGTTCATCACAGTATGATGTTAAAATTATAAATGATGTAAATGTTTAGCAGTAAGAGAATTAAACAAATTAAGATTTATCTGTTTAAAGAAGTATTATGAAGCCATTAAATTTTTCTCAAAAAAATTTGAGGTAAACTAAATTATATTGTGTTTTAATTTTCATATCTTTAAAACTTGGGCTGTAATGTGTCTTATTAGCATTTACGTTTCCTTTTTTTCTATTGTATTGAGTTATATTTGGTATATAACATTGTATTAGTTTAAGGTGTACAACATAATGATTTGATATATGTATATATTGTGAAATGATCACCACAAAATTTAGTTAAATCCATCACCTCACATAGTTACATTTCTTTTTTCCTTCGTGTTGAGGACACGTAAGAGATATCTCCTCTCTTATCAACTTTCAAATACACAGTACGGTATTGCTGACCATGGGCACCATGCTGTACGTCAGAGTCCAGGAATTCTTCATCTTGTACCTGGGAGTTGGCGCCCTTTGACCCCTTCACCCACTCCCCTCCTGCCCGTTCTCCGTTTCTGAGTTCAGCCTTTTTGGAGTCCTGCTGTCAGTGAGAGCAACAGTATTTGTCTTTCACTGACATTTCACTTACATTTCTTCTTTATAGTTTTCTTCTTTTTTCCTCCTAATTCTCTTATGTTAAACATTCCAAAGTGTTTTAAAATTCTTGTTTTCAAAAGAGTCTTCATTGAGATGGAAATTCAAAAGGAATTTAAATTAAGTTAAATTAAATTATTAAATTCTGCAGAGGAAGAGGGTTCTGCCAGCCTTCATGGCACCTCTGCCCTTTGACTCGTAATATTCCGTGGTTACCTGATGGTGCATAAACTTGTTCAAAATCCTCCAAACTGGGGTAGTCACAGATCTACATCACTCATCTCCATACTTGTGTTGAAGCTGTTGCTGCCGGGCCAGGTCAAGGGGCGGGGGTGCCAGAATGCAGCAGAACTCCTAAGCACCTGCAGGGTCCGCGGTGGCCCAGCTGCTCCCTGCCGCTTCCAGTGACCGTGCGAGCGCCTCCTTCTCTCTCACGCCCAGGGACGAAGGCAGAAGGGAAGCCAGGAGCGTCGTGCCTGGAGAAGGAAGCTGGACAAGGCCCTTACTGCTCAGGGTGGTCCACGCACTGCAGGCACCTGGGGGCGTGTTAGAAATGCAGACTCCTGGGCCCCACTGCAGACCTGAAGCTGGATGCAGATTCTGTGCTGCTCGACAACATGTCACAAAACACACAGCTCCATTTATTTAGAGGCTTTGCTTCCCGCTCTTAATTTGTAAAATGTAGAGCCTTGTTGCTTTAAAATTAAGTCTCTCTTAAAACTAAGTGGCTCTTTTTGTTTTTCCTTCTGAATCAGAAGAACTCAAAAAATACTTGGGTAAAAGTCCACAATGACATGCTAAGGTTGCACCCTCAACTCCTGCAGCTGTGATGGAAATATCAGTCTCTCTAATTTCTTCATAGGTGGCTGAAGGAAACAAGGAGAGGTTCTCTGGCACCCCGAAATACAGAGGGTGGGTACTGGACAACTGCCCTGTCACAAGAGAGCTGTGGCTGGCCTTGATGGAGAAAGGAATTGTTCCTGATTTAGTAATCTGCTTGTCTGACACAGAAAACAATGGTTGGTAAATATTTATCATGTAATTTGAAAGTCAAGTTTTTATTGCTGATAATGTTTTTAGTTGAAGAACAAAGTGGAAAACTCTCCCCCATGACCCCAGGTACACATACCACCCCAGCGATGCCTTCACGAACTATAGGTACAGAAGACGAGGCATTCACCCACCACACAGGCGGCCAGTGCTGGTGCGGGGCTGCTGGATATTCTATGAGGCCCTTGTGATGTTTCTTGGGAGCGGAAATTTTAACACCCCCTTCCCAGTCAGCTCTATAACTTACTAGTGAAAACGAATAAGGCTGTGCATTAACACTATGTGTTCCACCTTCTTCTTCTCAAATGGGAAATATTAAGTAGGTAAAGATAGCAGAACTAAATTGTAATTATTCTGTTACTTTGTACAAAGCTATAGGAATCAAAACAGTATGGTACCAGCATAAAAACAGACATGTAGGCCAATGGAACAGAATAGAGAGCCCAGAAATAAACCCACACATTTATGGTCAACTAATCTTTGACAAGGGGGCCAAGAATATGTCATTTCACCTCTTAAGGAACTATATTTGAAAAGAGTTTTCAAGGGGAAAATGTAATAAACTACCTTTTCCTGTTTTAGTTATTTCTACCATGCCAATATATACCTTTTAAAAAGGATTTAAGATGATGATCTCTTAATGTTTAAAGAATCTGGACTCTATTTAGATGAATACTTAAAGGAAAATGTATTGGGTATATGCAGAAATAATTTCTCATTGTTAATTTCCAAAATACACTTGACCCTTGAACAACTGTAGGTTTGAATTGTGTGGGTCCACTTTTACACAGATTTTTTCAGTAAATATATTGGAAATTTTTTGGAGGTGTGCAAGAATTTGAAAGAACATTTCATTTTCTGTAGCTTACTTAATTGTAAGTATACAGTATGTAATACAGAATAACATACAAAATATGTGTTAATCAGCTGCTTATGTTATCTCTAAGGCTTCCGGTCAACCGCAGACTGTTAGTAGTTCAGTTTTGGTGGTGTCAGAGGTTACACTCGGGTTCTTGACTGCGCAGGGGTCAGTGTCCCCAACCCCTGCGTTGCTCAAGGGTCAGCTGTGTATCTCGCTATATTTTATAGAGCTTCAAAACTAATATTATTCTCCTTCTCTGTATTTCAGGAAAATGTTTACTTAAAAGACTGTATTTAAAGAATAAACTTGAAATTGACTTAAAGATTTTAGAAAGATTATCAGGTGAACTACAAGAGGAAAAAAAAGAGCAAGAAGCAGCGAGGTAAGAAACTGCCCCACATGTGGTAGGAGGGTTAATGACTCTCTTGTAACTGTTAAATATCTACTGGTAATTTACACTCGTGAAATGTCTTTAATATCAAGATTGTGATCTACCAACTAGACCCAGTCCTAATTCATACCAAGAAAGCAGTGATTTCACAAATACTTAGAGAATCTCTCAAGTACAGAGTTGTGGGTATTTTCATGCCCCCAAATCAGACTTGTTCTAAATCAAATGTCAGCTCTGAAAACACACTGTAAAGAACTGAGAGCAGGTAAGATTGTTTTTGACGCATTTATCTGTGACTTAAATAATTTTGCTATTATCCACAAATTGAAGAAATAATATGATAAAAGTACACGAAAATACTCTTGTGTGATGGAATTAAAGTCCAAAGCCCGACCACGTTCTGTGTGAGGAATAGTTATTCTCTAGTCTGGGGGCAGTGAAGAGCTTTTTAAAAAATGAACATTAAAAAAGTTTTTAAATCCGACTATCTGTGGCCAAGACTAAACTGTAAAGAGCTATCAAGTTCTTCAGATTAGAAAACATAACATGTAAAGAAACTGACTGCTGAGCCTTGCTCTGTAGACCCTAAACAGTTTAATTTGCCCCCTGGGATTCCCACTTAGCTAAACCATTTAAGAACTGAAAGTCTGTCTTAATCCACTAAACCACCTCAGTTAATCCCCCAGCGCTCCTCCTTTTCGCCCCCAGGTATTGGTGGTGCGGCCTGACTTAGGGCTGCTCTTTAAACTCGGGGAGTTACGAAGCTGGGAGAGGGGGCTAGTGAGGATGGGCAGATAACGGACAAGTGTGTATAGAGGATTCTTTTCAGCGTTCATTACTCATCTAAATTAGCCATTCCTTTAGGAATTTAACGCAAAAATATATGAAGTAATCTGCTTACATTAGTTGATAAAATCACTGATATATTGACTAAAAAGTATTAATTCAAACAATAATTACAAACTTGCTACATTACTTTTAGCTTTCAAAAGTTCTATTACAAATAGAGCTACAATCTGCTAGGATTTAAGGGATTACCTAATTTTTTCACCAGTATATGAGAAATAGTCAAGTATTTGAGAACAGATGAAAATAACAACTTAAGAGTAAAACAAAGTTCATGTGATTTCTAGACTGAAGGTCTGGCTGCATTTTAAGTAGATAATTTAAAATACATATACATCTATAATTTTTTTTTTAAGGAAAAAGATCTCCACTTTCTCCCAGCTCTCTACCTTTGCCTCTCTTTTACCATATGGAATTTTCTGTAATATCAATTTTCACTTCTTTTGAATCTAAAGTTTTACAGCTTTATAAGCTTCTTAATGGCCAAAGACTTGCCCAGATGAAAGCAGGCTCCTCTACATTTCTATATGTTGTCTTTAAAAATTCCACATGAGTATTTCAAAAAAAGATATTTTTCATATACACAGAAAATACAATGTAAAGGAGTTAAAAAGAAAAACAAAAGATCAGAGGTGCGTTTAAAGGCCATACAACTTGGCTGGAAAAGAGGTGAGATGCAGAGGACTGAGAGTTATCCCCCGGGCCAGCACCCCGGCCCTGCTGAGTTCCCCGTTTCTGCAGGTCAGCGGCCAGACGCACCTGTCGGAGGCGGGGCGACTGCTGCCGCCGCCCTCGGTCACCTCTCCGAGGGCTCACAGAGGCGGCCACGAACCGGCGGCCGAGTCCCTCCTCCCTCTAGTCGGGCTCAGACGCCCCGCAGCAGCGCGCCGGGAGCCGGGTCCGGGGTGGGCAGCCTCCTCGAGGAGCCCGGCCCCGCTAGGCAGAGCGGCACAAGGTGGGGACGATGTGCAGAGACGGCCGGTGGGAGCGCAGGGACCTCGAGTCATGCCAGGGCTTGAGGCCGGACCGCGGCCAGAGAACACCCCCGCTTGGCAAGGGACTCTCCTGTCTGGAGAAGAGGTGTGGTGACGTTTTTTGGGAGAATATATGTAACTAAATGTTCACAGGACGGGGCAGGCAGGGACACCAAGGATGCTGAGTGGGAGAGAGTGGCGGGCCTGCAGAACGGCCTGAGGAAGGCCCCCGAGGGTGCTGCCCGTAGAGAGGCCATGCCTGACTCCTGCCTGCCTGCAAACGCTTGCTGCCGCTTTGGGCCGTTATCTTACAAGATGCAGCCGACATCCTTACACATGTTCTTCGTGCAGTAGCACGCCTGTCCCGAGAGCTGGCCTGCTCCATGTAGAATATCTAGGTCAAAGGCATACACATTTCAGTTTTTAATGAATATTGCCTGTCTCCATCTTTTACTAGCCTTATACCTGTCATCACCATTAAGGCAGGCTTAGTGCTCAACCCTAATGAAGAACAGATTCCCTCCTGTTACTTAAGCTTCCATATTCCAAGCCTCCTTAAATCATTACTATGTCAAAAAGAAAATGAATCAGACTAATTTTTCTGATTAAAAGATAAATTTACAAATTTTTATTCATTATAGAGGATTTTTTAAATGTAAGAATAAAGATTTAATAAAATTTAAAACTTTCAGAATGCCGCTGTCCAGAGATAATTCCTGTTGGCCCTTGGACTGGCTTTCTTCCATCATTTCGCCATAGTTCATATACAATTTACCACGGAATCACGGCGGCGGCGTGCATAGATTTCCATTACACCTTTTTTCACTTAACATTGTACTGTAAACATTTCTCAGTTAATCAGAAGGGGAAATGGTACAACTTTCCCCATTTGTCTTTTCAGCATGCAGTTAGACTATCCTTTGTCAATTTTCACAGATTTCCTAATTAATAGCTAGTTTTTCAAAGTATAACATTCCAACTTTTCATATATAAAACACTGAAAATTAACTGGCCTCAGTATGAGCAAACTAAACATTTACACTGTAAAGCAAAAAAGTATAAAGAATATTATACCTAGTTTATTTTTACTGCTATACACCTTCAGATCCATTAATATTGAGATGCCTGAATTTCCAAAGATAATTAAATTTTGGACCTTTTCATTTCAGAAAAGCCAGAGAAGAGGCATTGAGAATGGAAGAAAATCAAAGGCTACTGGAAGCTATGAATGAGAAAGCAAAAGGCAAACACAGATTGATATCACTAATCATCTGCCATTGAATTTTGTATTGTTAGAGCAGGCAACTGCGGGATTTCCAGGGACTGACAGACAGGGTGGCATGCCTCAGTCTGCCCATGAGAGGCCAGGTCTAGGTGGAGGCCCATGAAGTACTTATTCGACCCCCTTTCATTCTCTGTGTTCCAGCTTGGGTAATTAATTGTAAGGTCACTGGAGTAATGGATCCATAGGAAAAGACCCCTGACCCAGGTACCTTCCCCACCCCACCAAAGAGGGGCACAGAGCAGACAGCGGGGGCAGCAGGTCTGAGCTGTGGCCCCATCACTGATGGCTCACGGCTGCTGGAGTCACTGCTGTCAGAGGGTCCTGCAGGTGTGCGCACAGGGCCACACTCTTCCTGTACCCCTGGCTTTGGTCTGAAACCACCATTCCCATTATAGAAGAACTTACACCAGCAGTTTCTTTAGGACAAGTTCCTACCCTGGAATCCACGGGTGAAACTCCAAGGCCTGTGAGCCTGAGTGGGAGAGGAACTACAACTTTATTTTCACCACTTTAATTGAAATTTAGTATTTCCTTCAACTAGCATTTAATGTAGGCAACAAACCACAATAATATAAAAAGGACCTTGACTTTGTCAATTACTGATGTATTTTATTTCCAGTGTTTTGTACTATATTTGAAATCCATTGCGTACTTTATACTTACAGCACATCACTGTTTGGATTAGCCCCGCCGCAAGGGCTCAGTAGCCACCCGTGGGAGTGACTGCGCACCAGACGGTGCAGGTCTACCTGTCCCCTTGCTGCATGGACATTTGGGCTGCTTCCAGCCTGCTGCTGTTAACAGTGTTTGGGAGGCTGTGAACTTCCCCTCTTCAGCCTGAATCCTTGGGCTGGTGCTCACATAGCACTCTGAGCACATGACCATCACCATTTACCACTGCCTTTTAATAGATAAAATATATCAAATGAAACTTCATTAAACACCTGCTTCAGGAGGGAGGGGCCATTCCTTACTTTTTGTTTTGGCCTCAGCACTTAGAGTGCCTGGCCAATTAAATGTTTGTTGACCTAAACTGAATGATAATTCATTTCTTCTCATTTTTTTCTAGAAGTGGAAGTGACTGAAATTGAGGCTGAAGAAGAGATTGAAGGTGAGGAGTCTGAAGTTCATGAAGAGTCTGAGGCCCTTGAGGTCGCCAAGGAGACCCGAGGATCCTTACCCGAGGGGTCAGAAGTGTCCAAGGGCCCTGAAGTAGAACTGGAATCAGGTTAGACTCTATTGAGGGCCGTGCCCTTAACTCCGCCACGCCCACTGCTGTGTCTGTGCGTGCGTGCGTGTGTGTGTGTGTGTGTGTGTCTGTGCTAATAAAATGGAAGCAGGCTGCGGCTGGACAGATGAGCCCCCGGACAGCAGCCACGTCCAAACCCCACGGCTCAGTGCGGCGGGAAAGTTCTGCCCCAGCACCGGGAGCAGGGCCGGCTGCGTGATGTGGAACACACTGTTCAGAAAGCAGGAAGAAACTGTCATTTAAGGTACTAAAATACAAAGCTTTTTCTTTTCTTCCATGATCTGTCTGTCTGTCATGGTGCCTCTTGTTTGCCCTTTAATGCCATTGTAAGTAAAGAAAAATTAAGAATTTAAGTTATTAGCATGATTCTACCACTAGTCTTTATGTCACACAATGCCATTTTTAAATGAAATATAGGGCACTTAACTCATATACAGAACCTACCAAATTACAGAATTGTATTTCACAGCTCTGCATGCATATACATTTAATTCTTACCAGAATACTAAGTCAGTTTCGTGCACAAAAGTAACTCAAGTTTTTATTTCACCTCTTAACATGACACACATCCTACCAACACTCACCGCCTCTAGGTGCCTGATGATGAAGGAGGGTCTGAAAGGAACAGGAACCCCGGTCAGCTTGTCCTTGCCCTTCCCCCTTATCATCGTTCCCAGCCTAGGTATTCAGCTGACACAGGAAGGGGTGTGGTGGGGCTCTGTGGTCGTTCATGTCTCTGAATGCTCTCACCTTCTTCTGCATTGGAAGCAAGTTCTAGTTCAAAGGGAAATCTCGGTGTCTCAGGCTGTGAGCACTGTCCCCTCCCCTGCCACTGAGTCGCACCTGCACCCACACCTCAGGTCCCCTGATGCTCTGCTCCTTGCTTGTGCTGGGGCACCAGGAATGTTCATGAGAATGAGGTGCAGGGAATGGCAGATACATGCACAGATCTCTGCTCACATGCACTGCTCTCCCAGTGGAGTCCCTTTGGGTTGTGCCTACAAAACCCAGTTCCCAGACGGTCACTGGAAAGCTCCCAGTGACAGCTGAAAAGCACCGAGGCGAGTGTGAGGCCTCTTTCAGCAGGTGACTCTGTGCATGCGCACAAGCCCGCTCTGCCCCAGAACCAGCTGGGCAGGTGGGTGGGCAGGCCAGAGTCACAGGCCCAGACAGGAAAGCAGGCTTAACGTAGCATGAGAGGGCACCCTCCCTGCAGCCCCGCAGGGGAGTGAGGCCCAGAAACACTTCCAAGCATGGTCAGTGCTGGATTAGAAGGTCCTAGGTACCTGCTGCGAGATGCCAGCATGAAGCAGGTAGGGCCTGGGAACCTGCTGTCAGCTGGTAACAGGGCCAGGATAAGGGGCCATTTTATAATAAGAAATCTCAAGCTCGCCATGGATCATTTTTATCACGGAAATTGGCATTCACTTTACGGGACAATACAAAAGCAGATTCCTTGTGCCAGGCAGAGGAGCTAGCAGGATGGAACACGCAGTCATCGATGCTGTGGACGGAGGACCCTCCTATACTTTAGCTGACTTAGAAGGCCGTTTCCACGGTTTCCCGATGGCTGTGTGTGTGTCTGGCCTGTGCGGAACGTGAGTCTCAGAACTGGGACAGACTGTGGTATGAGAAGTTAGGCAGGTAAGTAAGTAGCCTCGCTCTCCCTGAAAGCGTCTGTGCTGGTCTGTGTGGGAAACTTGCTCACATCTTCCAGGAAAACCGTTTTCCATCCTTGCCTTCAGCAGTGATACTGGTTGAGCTCCTCCTCAATTTCGCCCCACCTACACCCACAGCTGCGACCTCAGCGCAGCACCGCCCTTCACTGCCCCCTGTGCCTTCACTGTGGTCTTCCCGTGCGTCTCCGGAGCGTCGTGATAGAGTGAGGGAATAGCAGGTCCTGCTGCTCTAATGCCATGTGAACACAAGTTAGAGTAGCATTTAACAGCAGATGATAGACTTACATGTGCCCTGTATCAGTTGTTATTCTGGTCCATGCCCATTTGTAAATTTAAGAATATTCTCCATCTGTGGCCTTATATGACTGGGTATTTTTATGCCATATTTTACTTAGCAAGAACTGTATTTTCAGTGAGCCATAGTATATACGCTGGGGGTTGAGTTTCTTCTCTCGTCCCGCCGCAACAAGAGTGGAAGGGCAGAGACGCAGCAGTGAAGCGGAGTTAAGGCTTCATTCCAACGCCCTCCAAGGGAGGGGCCAGCCAGAGTCAAGGTCAACACAGGCAGGTTTGCTTGAAGAAAACAGAGAGGAAGGAAAAACAGAGGGAGGAAAGGGAAGCGCACTGAACTACTGCTCAGCACAGGGCAGTCCCCTGCCAACTCCTAGAGCCAGGCCCACCTGGCACCTGTGTCCGCTTGAAGCTGCACAGCCTGGGAACTAAGCCCCCATCACCCCAGGATTTGGGGGAGCCATAGAGCTGAGTGGAGTGAGATTATGTTCTCAGAACTTCCCAAAGGCAAAGAGGAAATTTTCAGGTAGGCTGCTAAGGAGCACGATCATGCAGCTGAGGTCCTGTCCTGGTCATCCAGGCGACAGGAACTTGCCAGCCCGAATCAGAGCTCTCAGGGGCCCCGCCCTACTTACCTGGAGTAAAACAGAGAGTGACACACTCGAAGACAGGGGGGTGTGGGCAGCCTCAGAGAGGAGGAGGTGTGCTTAAGGGTTTGGGTCTGGGGTTTTATAGGGCCTTTGGGTAGGGGTCAGCGTGAGGCATGATGTGTACAGGTGACTCATAATTCCTTTGAAGTTTTGTTTTAAGAATAGGGTTATTTAGGTGACTGCATTGGCCTGGATCTCAGCGTTCTTTATCCGCATAGGTTTGTTTACACTTCCAAGAGGTCTGTCTGCTGCCCTGTTCACAAAGTCACTTGAGTAAGGGGCAGGAAGAAGAGGAAAAAACAGCATATAGGTTAAGTTAAAGAATAAACTGGACCTTTTTTCAGGCTAAATAGATCTTACAGTGGCTTGATCTGACTGATACCATGCAGACAGGGGCCGCACTCTGATGCTTTTCCTCATCTGGAGAATGTCCAGACACTCCAAGTTGCTCCTGGCCTTTGGAATTTCAACTCATTAACTCACTGACTCTGGGAGTCCTCCCTGGCACCCTGGTTTTACATGGTTACCTTTTTGAGTACCATTTAGTGGGCTTCACTGGCTTTATTCTCCTTCTACCCACTCATGTCTATTTTTCTGCCTAACATATACAATTAAACTGTGTTTTGGAATTTTATTTGTGCCAAACTGTTCATAAAGGATTAATGTTTTAAAATTCAAACACTATTAGATTTCTTTTTTTTTATAGTATCCGAGCCTCCTGAGGACAGTACAGTCAAAACAGAAATCCCAAAAGGATCCAAAGAGGGCCTAGAAATGAAAGAATTAACTGAAACAGGTCAGAACCTAAAATAAAAGTAGTCAGTACATAAAAGTGTTATTCATATTCTCTTACAAAGGGTCCAACCCCTTATTTTTAGGCCTAGTACATACTTTCTACCTCTTTCTATATTGTATCACAGTTGATGTGTGTTATATTCATTTAGCTTATTACATTAAAAGTGTATCTATTCTACAGCATCTCACTACGCTGACGGCCGTGACTGTAATGGGGTTTGTGGGAGGACTTGGTGAAGGGGGGAGCCTAGTAAGCCTAATGTTCTTCATGTAATTGTAGATTAATGATAACAACAACAACAAAAAGTGTATCTAGTCAGCTTATAACACATTTTCATCAGATTTTATTGTATGCATTTTATTAAAAAAGTTGCTATGTGAAATTCACGTTAATTATCCAAACAATTTGGATTCTATTAATAGATAATGATTCATCTGCGACCAATACAAGGAACAAAGCATTATTAAAATATGAATTTGTGAATGCATTTTTTGCTTAGAACACTGAGTTTATTTCTTTGAAATGTTTTAAAAATATTATAAAGTATGAATTGTTTTGGCAATATGGCTAAAGATACCATGTTTGAAGCCTCTCTCTTCTTTCCTTTAACCTTTATTCAAAAGTCGTACTGCCTGAGTTTCCGGAAGATGCTTACCCTGAAGTTCCCGAAATGCAGCCAGTTAAAGATCAGATTAGCTCTTTCAGTGACCTCTGGAAAACACTGGAAGTGACAGTCAACGACTCTTCCGTTCAAGTCTTAAACTTGGAAATTGCTGGCAAAACACCAGAGGAGCTACTTCAAAAAGCCGCCGAGGCACTGGAGAGTAAGGGCCCAGCTCGCCCACTGTCAAGGGCAGCCGGTGTCATCAAAAGCACTGCGGAAGCCTAAAGCCCTTGGGGTGGTTCCTGAAGTGGACCGTTCGGTACACCCTGGGACGGTACCTGCAACATTTCACAGCTCTCAGCCCAGGCACCCACCAATCAGGGCAGCGCTGGTCCAGACAGTGCCGCCCGCCTGGCCGCGGTCACTTGACGAACGTGTAATGCGCTGTTTGCGTCTGAACTGTAATGGCGTTTCCGTGTCTTTGATGCTGGGATATGCTGGTATCCTTTTACACTGAACTTACCTTCCCGATGTTTCTCCTTTTTTTACAGAACCTTTCCAGTATGCGGCGTGGGAGTTGGGTACCCAAGACTATGATGAAGAGACGGAAGACTTCCAGGCCGAAGCCGAAGTGGATGAGGAGCCGGCAGAGGAGGTAGGCGCCCCTCTCCGCTGTTCCTTGACCTCGGCCCCGCCCCCGCCAGTGCACCGGGGATTAGGGACCGGAAGAGGGGGGAGGGGGGGACAGCCGCCTGAGTGTCGCTAGAAGCAGAAGCGAAGCAGAAATGCATTCAAGCAAAAAGGCAGCTTGTCCTGCCAGGGGCTCTAAGGTGGCGAGGCCGGATGCCCGTCGGCGGCAGGGGAGAGATTCGGCGCGAACCGACCTCCCGTGTGGACAGAGGTGAGGGAAATGCTGGACGGCGGTGGAGGGGGGTGTAGGCAGGGGGCAAGCAGGGGGCAAGCAGGGGGCCGCGCGGACTCACGGAAATGGAAGCGTCCCAGCGGCTGGCCGCTGAGAGTGTGGTCGGGCCGGCCCGGCCGTCGGAACGAGGAGACGGGCGCACGCGCCCTGCGGGCAGGCGGCGCTGGGCCCGCAGTGAGGCGGCCCGGCAGCCGCGGATTCCCCGAGGCCCACCCTTCCGCGTGGAGCGGCCCGTCCCGAGCCGGGGCCTGCGGCTGGCGCGGACTCTGCTAGTGTTCGCCCACGCCCTCGCCGGTTTTCCCAGCCTTGCCAGCTGTACTTGACGTGCGACATGGTGTGACCGCCGCGGCAAGGCCGGTCCACACAGCCGCGCCTCGTGTGTCCGCAGCCTGCGCGGCGGCGGGAGCATTTGCGATCTGCCCTCTTACCGCCCTGGGCACGTGACGCAGTGCCGTCCGCCACGGTCGCGCTGCTGTTCGCCGGCCCGGGACTTGCTGGCTTAGAACTGGAAGTTTGTACCTTCGACCGACATTTCCCCTTTTCCCTCACCCCTCAGGCCCGAGGAACCACCATTCTAGTCCCTGTTTCCGTGATTCTGTTTTTTAGGTTTCACTTATCAATGAGTCTTACAGCAATTTCTTTCTTTGGCTTATTTCACTGAGCATAATGCCCTCACGGTCCACCATGTTGTCACAATGGCAGGATTTTTTTTATAGCCAAACAGTATTCCATTGTGTATATACCACGTTTTCTTTAGCAGTTCATTAGTCAGTGGTCACGTCCTTCTAGGCCAAGGTTGAGGCCTGGTTGAGAAGAGGGCTCAGAGGAGCTTGACTAGAATTTGGTCAAGGAGAGAGTCTTTGTCAATCCTGAAAAATGGAGTAAAGAATGTAGGTTACAAATCCTTATGTACAAAATAACATCAAATATTATGAAGCAAAATCTTGGAAATGCAGAGAATATGATGCCACTACAGGACACGCCTCTTGGAAACTGACAGCGCCTGTAGGCGAATGATCAGTAGGGCCGTGGATTTGGGAAACACCCTGCATGAGCTCGCTCTAGTAGCCGGAACCTGTGTGCCCACCCGCCCAGCCTCCTGAACGGTCACGTCATAGTTCACGAAGAAATCACAGTGAATTGTAAGAAGCAGAAATCTTACAGACCACATTCTCTGATCGCAGCGCAACAGAACAAAAATTACACCACTCTCCTTCCCCCAGTTATAAACCCTTGAGGTTTACAAAATACATGCGTACATTTTCTTTCCAAATGCCGTGAGTTAAATAAGAAATCAAAATGAAACTACATTTACATTTCCCTGTATGGCCCCGGAAGATGACTGGTTAGCCAGAGACGGGTAAGATTCCTCAAGGGAGGAACAACCTAAGACAGGCACAGTCGCAGGGGGGCCATCAGGTGAGAAATTGAGGATCAACAGTGGTGAGGCTTAGAACCTCACCCCC